CATGTCCGACTCTGTGCAACCCCATAGACAGCAGCCCACGCAGCTCCCCCGTCCCTGGGATTCTCCAGTCAAGAACACTGGAGTGGGTTGCCATTTCCTTCTCCAATGCATGAAAGTGAAAAGGGAAAGTGAAGACGCTTGGTCGTGTCCGACTCTTAGCGACCCCATGGACAGCAGCCTACCAGGCTTCTCCATCCGTGGGATTTTCCAGGCAAGAGTACTGGAGTGGGTTGCTATGCCTTCTCTGTGTTAAGATGTTAACGCTATCCAAACCAATCTGCAGATTTAATGCAACCTGTATCAAAATTACAATTGTGTTTTTTGCAAAAATAGAAAACTATCTAAAATTTATTTGGCATCTTAAAGAACCCTGAATGGCCAAAACAATCTTGAAATAGAAAAAAGTTGTAGTAGCCGTACCTCCTGATTTCAAAATTTACTAGAGTAATCAAAACAGTATGGTTTTGCCATAAAGACAAACACATAAAGCAATGGAATAGAATAGATAGCCCAGAAATAAATGACAGTATGTAGTCAAACTGTTTTTGACAAGAATGCCAAGACCATTCAATGGGCAAAGAACAATCCTTTCCCAAATGATGCTGGGAAAACTGGATATCCACATGTCAAACAATAAAGTTGGACCCTTTTCCAACACCATGTACAAAAATTAATGCAAAATGAATAAAAGACCTAAACATAAGAGCTGAAACTATAGAACTCTTAGAAGAGAACACTCGGGAAAAACTTCATGACCTTGCATTTGGCAATCATTTCCTATATATGACATCAAAGGCACAGGCAACAAAAGAGAAAAATAGATGAACTGGACTTCATCCAAATGAAAAACTGTGGTGCATCAAAGAACACTGTCGCCAGAGTAAAAAGGCAACCCACATAATAGAGGAAAATATTTGTAAAACACAAAACTAATGAGGTATTAATATCTGAAATATATAAAGAATTCTTCAAACTGAACAACAACAACAAAAAGCTTAATACAAAAATTAGCCAAGAATTTGGACATTTCTCTGAGGAAGATGTATATGAATGGCCAATAGGCACAGGAAAAGGTGTTCAGCATCACTGATCATTAGGGAAATAAACATCAAAACCATGGTAAGATGGCTTTCATACCCTAATGGTGGCTACCATCAAAAATAAAGAAAATTGATATTAGCATGGATGTAGAGAAATTGGAGGAGAAGGCAATGGCAACCCACTCCAGTACTCTTGCCTAGAAAATCCCATGGACAGAGGAGCCTGGTAGGCTGCAGTCCATGGCGTCGCTAGGAGTTGGACACAACTGAGCGGCTTCACTTTCCCTTTTCACTTTCATGCATTGGAGAAGGAAATGGCAACCCACTCGTGTTCTTGCCTAGAGAATCCCAGGGATGGCAGATCCTGGTGGGCTGCTGTCTATGGGGTCACACAGAGTCGGACACGACTGAAGCGACTTGGCAGAGTAATTGGAACCCTTTTATTTTGCATTGCTGGTAGGAATGTAAAATGGACAGCTGCTGTGGAAAACAGAGTGACAAAGTGGGAAGCCACCCAAATATCCACTGATGGATGAGAGTCAGGGTTACGGTGAGAGTGAGGGTGAGGGTGATAAAGAAAATATAGTACAAGTATACAGTGGAATACATTATAAATATCCAGCCATAAAAAGAAAGGAAATTCTGACACATGCTACAACATGAATGAACCTTGAAGACCTCTTGCTAAGTGAAATAAGTCAGTCCCAATAGGACAAATACTGCTGGGCAGTTTGGTGGTATAGTGGGGAGCATAGCTGCCTTCCAGAAAGACAAATACTATATGAATCCATTTATACAGGTAGCTAGAATAGTCAAATTCTTAGAGAAGAAAGTAGAATGGTGATGACCAAGGCCTGGAGGGAGTGGAGAATGGGGAGTTATTGCTTAATGGACATAGAGGTTTATTTGGAGAAGTGGGAAATTTCCTAGAAATGGATAGTGGTGATGATTGAACAACTAAATGGTTAATGCCACTGAAGTGTACACTTCAGAATAGTTAACTGGGGAACAAAAAAAGGACCCGCCTCCCAAAGCAGGAGACAGAAGAGACATGGGTTTGATCCCTGGGTCAGGAAGACCCCCTGGAGTGGGGCATGGCAACCCACTCCAGTATTCTTGCCTGTAGAATCCTGTGGACAGGGGCGTCTGGCGGACTGCAGTTGGGTTTGCAAAGGGTCAGACACGACTGAAGCGTCTTAGCACCCATGCACACCAGTGACACCACTGGACCCAGACTTTTCCTGGAACGTTTTTTGATCACTACATTGTAGAGAAAAAGGAAGTAGATTAGTGGCTGTTTGATGACCACCAGCTTATGGCTGATTACCTAGTAACTGCTGAGGGGATGAGGGTTTCTTTTCTGAGAGTGGCAAAAGTATTCTAAAATTAGCTTGTGGTGATGGTTGGACAACTGTGTGAATATATTAAAAACACTGAATTGTTCACTGAGTGAGTGAACTCTATGGTATGTGAATTATATTTTAGGAAAATTGTTTTAAAAAGCAAAAAAAAAATAGTTAAAATGGTAAATTTTACATTAAGCAAAAAAAAACTATATGCTTAACAATTTTTGAAAAAGATATAATGGAAGAGAGGGAAGAAAGATTGGAATTCAAATATGTAAACATGTAAATGTCTCCTACACAGGAAAGCAAAGGCAGAAGTGACTCTGATTTGAAGTTGTGACCTGCCACAAGGATAATCCCCAGCAGCTATTGATAGCTGGTTTCAGGAGCACCAGCTACAAAGCTGGATGAGCAGGATAGAGGGCCGTTAGGCCACAGCCAGCTTGGACAGCCTGGCGAAGCACAGGAGTACTGTTGACAAGGCTTTCCAGCACAGATCTCCATTAGCATTTGGAATTATTACTCACATTGTGTTCTAGGTCCCTGCAGGTGGTGGGTGCCATGGGGAGGACTGACCTTGGTGGTCCTTTCTTCTCCATGCCAGGTACTGTGCTGAGTGCTCTGTGTACTTACTCTCACCGGTTCCTCTCCATAAACGGAAGAGGAGAGATTCTCTTCCTGTTCTCAGGGCACAAAGGCACTTTTCAGGGTCACTTTCTAGGGGTGTCCTCTCCCTCTGTCCCCTTGGTCAGGCCAGACCCCGTGCCCACTCAGGAAAGGATGCTTGAGAGAGCATCTCTTCTCCTGTCCCCTGGACTCGCTGCACTAAGCAGCTGCACACATTTCTTCTATGGGTTCTTCAGAGTTCCATTTATGAAGGCCTTTTTATGCCAACGACCAGTGCTGGGGGTGGGACCAGCAGAATGGGTCTTGTAGACTGGCCACCCAGGAGCCAGAGATGTCATTTCTAATTGGAATTTGCAACAGGTTACAGGGAGAAGATCCCAGGTGTCTGGCAGGAGAAAGCAAATCTTGCTGGCCTCAAAAGGGTTCTATTAATATCTAGTGGAACTGGGCTCCAGTTTCGGACTTTGCATGAGGGGCAGAGGTGGCACCCACTCCAGAGCTGACCAGCATACCCCACTGAGCACTGGCAGTCCCCATGTATCCACATGTGCGGCTGCTTCCCCACTGAGGGACAGGAGACAGTTTTGTGAAATGTTTAGTTTCATCAGCTGAAAACTGAACATCCACAGCTTTGCTGGAAAGGTGAAATCAAGCTGAGGCTGCCCAGGCTGCTGTCGCCACTGGTTCCCACACCCCCAGCCCCTGCACCCCCATACTGTGTGCCCTCAGGACAGCCCTCTGTGGGGCTCCTTCTGGCACCAGGCCTCAGCTTGGACTCTCCAAGTCCTCCTGACTCTGCTTTCAGGGCCAGGTCACCCAGAGGACAGAAGTCAGAAACAGGCTGGGGCCAGGTCTGCCATGGGGGGATCCAGGCTAAGGCGAGCAGGGTGATGGGGAGATGAATCCCTGGGAGGCCCCTGGAGTGAGCCTGCAGGACTCCACAGTTAAGACTGTGGGGGCAACTTGAATGTCACATGGGGGATGGTTAGTCAGTCACTGGCTTGGCCAGGACTTGTTCCCACATCTGCCCCAAAGGCTTCATTCAGGAAGACTGCTCAACAGGGATATATGTAGGGCCCAAGAGAGGAAGCACTGTCCACTGCACTCTCATGGATGGGCCCCTGCTGCAGGCCGGGCCCTTGACTTAGTACTGGATCAGAAGACGTGCCTGTTCTGCCCCCACCTGAAGGAGGTCTGGCTGGAGACTTTGCACCAGGTGCTGGCTGCACCCCAAGCACTCCGCAGTGCTGACAAGGAGAGGCTTCTGATGTCCACCAGAAGTCAGGCCCAGCCTTGACGGGGTCGCTGCAGGGAAGCTTTCAGCCATGTCCAGAGGGAACGGAGGATTGAAGATGACGGGAAAGTCTTCCTGCAGGGGGATACAGCTGCACAGGTCACTGGGCTCTCATCGCAAAGGGCCTGGAATGCCAAGCTGTGGAGGCTGCACCTGAGAAGCTCAAACACGCTCAGGTTACGGAGCAGTCCGCAGAGCAGCTTCGGGCACAGCAGGATCCAGGCCGCGGCTGCTGAACTCAGGAACGTGCTTTCCTGGCTCCTTGAGGGACAAGATGGTCCAACAGTGCCATTGCATCAGCTCGGGAGCCTGGGGGAAAGAGCTTTCAAGTGGCACACAAGTTATAGGATTGCATCTGAACCCTCTCGTTAGGATCAGGTCCGCCTCTGATTCATTCTTGTGGCCAGCAGCACAGCAAATATGCTGATGGTCTAAGCCTGGTCAAAAACAACCTGCACTGTAAGACTCGACACTGGAAGCAGTCAATCCCTAAACGGCTAGGACTGATAATGAAACAGAGATGGCTCCTGGGGGATGCAGTGGCTTGGGGGGCTGCCATCCCTGGCAGACCTCCCAAGAAGTGATCACTGGGCTCGAGTGGGCACAGAAGTGCCTATGGGAAGCAGAGCCTGCCCAGCCAGGGATCCTGGCAGACCAGCAGATCCAACTGCCACCTTGCCATTGCAGGTGGGCATGCCCCGGACACTCAGCGCGTCCGACATGGTCACCCCAGGCAGCCTCGGCCCACCCCCCAGCGAGCCCACGGACAGCGAGCAAGCTGGGCAGCCCCTCCTGGATGGAGCTCTGTCCTCAGCCTCCCTGGACACCCTGATCCAGCACCTGGTGCCCACCACCGACTACTACCCTGAGGTGGGTGATCCACCCTGTGGGGAGGAGGGGTAGCAAAATGGGCTCTGTTCCACCATGCCAGGGGGAGACGGCAGAGCTGGGGCTGGCTGGGCCTGGGGGTGCCGGGACTGGCAGGCACATCCTCCCTGGCAGGCACATCCTCCTGGGACTTGTGAACATGTGCTGCTTTTCTGCTATGTCCCCCCAGAAAGCCTACATCTTCACCTTCCTGCTGAGCTCTCGCCTCTTCATCGAGCCCCAGGAGCTCCTGGCCCGGGTCTGCCACTTGTGCATCGAGCAGCAGCAGCTGGACAAGCCAGTGCTGGACAAGGTGAGCGTCAGGGCCGAGTAGCGGGCCTCTGAGTGTGTGGCTCTCCCCTGACATGCCCTTGTGAATCCGTATCTTGGATAGGCAGAGATTGCCCCTATTCACCTGCCAGAGGGTTCTGACTTGTCTGAAGCCCAGAGCCAGAAGGGCAGAGTCAGAGTCTTTAACCCCAGTGCTGTCTTCCAGGGTCTCAACAGCCCAGACCTGGGCCCCCAGAGGATCATGAGGCGAGCCCCATCTGTGGCCGGGGGTGGTCCTGCAGTGCCTGCTGCGCTGCCTGCCCCCCGCATCTTCTGTTCCATCCTTCCTTCTGCCGGTCCTCTGATGGCTCAGCCTTCCCTCAGTGCCCCCCATCCTTTCCTCTGTCCCTCGCTGTATCCCACGGGCTGCGACTGTCTATCTACACACGAGTCAGGAGGGTCCCACTGTCCAGTGACAGAAACCTGATTTCAGCTGACCTAAGGCCAAGGGACTGCACTGGCTCACATAACTGCAGTCTCGAGCTACTGCTGGCTCCAGGGGCTCAAACATCAAGTGGTCTTTCTCCCTAAGACCCCTTGCTTTGTTTTCCTCTGGGCCAGACTCTCTCTGCCTGGTGACAGGTGGCCTCTGTGGATCCAGGGTCCTGGTCTGCCCTTCCCAATCCTATGGGAAGAGGATTCCAATAAAGATCCTGATCTCGTTGGCTTAGCTTAGGCAGCATGCCCCTCTGTGGGCCAATGCCATGCCCTGACTGGCCAGCACTTATCTGGGATATTCCTGAAGCCCTGGGATAGGGACACCTGGAAACGGGGGAGAGGGGGCCCCCACAGGCGAACTGAGATGCGGTCACCACAGAAAGGGAGATAGGATGACTGGCAATTATGAGTAAGAGATGACCCCCATTCCAAACATGTGTCTGTCCCCCTCTGCTCTCCGTGGTCAGCCCCCACGCCCCATCTGTCTCCTGGGACAGAGGAAGGAGAGGCCCACCTCCCCCGGCCGTCGCTGCTGCCCCCGGGCAGCCACATGCACAGTGCGTGGCTGAGGCAGTGGCCGCTGCAACCACCCACCTCCCATGCATCCCTCACCAAATGCAGACGACCCTTGGCTTGCCTTGCAGGCCCGGGTCCGGAAGTTTGGCCCCAAACTGCTGCAGCTGTTGGCCGAGTGGACAGAGACATTTCCGCGGGACTTCCAGGAGGAGTCAACCATCGGTCACCTGAAGGACGTGGTGGGCCGCATCGCCCCCTGTGATGAGGTGGGCAAGCCAGGCCAGAGTCCTCTCAGCCTGTCTCCACCCTCACACCTGGTTCCCAAGCCTGTTCCCAGGCTGGCCTCTGTGCCCTCATCTCCCCACCCGCACCCTGGGGCCCCTCTGAAATCAGCCCCTTCCTGCCCCATCAGAGAACCGGGCACTGGCAGAGCTGGCAGGGAAATCAGGCCTCTAGGTCCAGACCTGGTCTCTTGAGCTCTCTCCTATCCTGGTCTCATCACATGGCAAGCGAAGGGCTCTTAACAGCTGCCTGGTCAGGTCATTGGCCCAGCAGCCTGGCTTGGCAGAACCCTCTTCCCCAGGGGCTTGGGAGGCAGCCTGTGTACGGGGCATCAGGTGCCTCTGCACCCCACACCTTGCCCTGTTCTCCCAGCTCATTACTCTGGGGAAGGCACTTAAAGGTGAAAGAGGAACAAAACTCCCTACCTCCCAGGATTGGGTGAGAAGACTGAGCGGGGACTGCATGTCGCTTGTCTTGGGAAGAAACCGAATGTGGCAAGTTGATAGCCCCAGAGTGGGTCTGCACCCAGAGCCAGCAAGAGCCAAGGGAAAACTGCTAAGGCAGGCTGAGCAACAGGAAGCTGCAAAGGCCAAGGCCCAGTGAGGCTCAGAAAGGGAGGCCCTGCCCTGGGGTCGTTTCAGAGACAGAGCAGGCAAGTTAGTTGTTCTGAGAGCTTGATGAGATGAAGGTCATCTCCTCCTCTGCATCCCTTGACCCATCTGGGGATTGATTACTACACTTGGCTTAGGTGCAGCAAGCAACAGGTTCAGGGAAGGCTCTGGATGATTAGATGACTGGATGGATTAGGAGAAGGAAGCAGGAAGGGGGAATGCTGACTGACTGATTTGCTACATAGTTGGCTACTTTGATGGGTGACTGGAGCAGGGAAGAGAGATGTTTGGGCAGTTGGGTAGGCAGGGAGATTAATAAGATAAGTGGCTGTGGAAGACTGATGGAAAGAAGTGAAGGAGAAAGGCAGAATGATAACTAGTGAGTGGGTAGATGGATGAACAGATGGATGGGTGGGTGGGTGAACGGATAGGTGGATGGGTGTGGATGGGTGGGTGAGAAGATGGATGGGGAGGTGGGTGGGTGGGTGGATGGATGCATGGATGAGTGGGTAGATGGATGAGGACAAATGTTAGGATGGAGGGAGGAAGGAGAGATAAATGAATTGATGCATCTGTGGGTGACTTTATAAAAGGGGAGGTGGGCATCACAGATGGGTGGAAAATAGATGGATACAGAGATGGTGGATGGATGGATGGAGTAGAGGGTTTGTAGGGGGATGAGAGCCCAGTCCTCTGCTTTATCTCCACCCCCCAACAGTAGACCTTCAAGCAGTGTTAAGTCTATGCCATTGACAAAATGGATTATCTGCCCTTGTCAGGCCTGTCTCTGCCACTGGCAGTGACATTTCAGAGGCAGACCCTGCCATTCTGGACACAGGGGGTTGGGACAGGTGTAAGTCCTGGGCTTGTTTCTTTGAGAATCAGTGCCTCCTCACTACGCCCTCAAGAATCTGTTGGGACCATGCTGGGAAATCTTTTCAAACCACCAAGTGGATGAAAATAAGACACAGCCAAGACCTGTGAATGGGCTGTTGAAAGCAGTCATCCACCAGGTGTGGATTTTCAGAGCTGAATAACTCGTTTAGGGAAGTTCTCATCCCTTCCCGTGGAATCCAGTTAGTTTTGCTAAGTGATGTAACCCGGAACTGAGATTCCCTAGTCCGCATGCTACCCAGCCAGGCAGAGGCCAGGGATGCCCCATCTGTCTTTGTGAGTCCCACACTGCCCTTCTCCGGAAAGCACTTACTCCAAGGGGATGTGCAGTAGACGTTACTTCCCTTTCCTGGTGCTTCAGGCAGCCTGTAGGCTGCTCCCTCCCCAGCACAGGCTCAGTCTCAGCTGAGAAAGGAACTGGTGAGCTCTGGTAAGTCAGGACCCACGGGACTCAGAACGTGAGGTCAGGGTCAGACCTTCTGAGACCACAGCGCTGTGACTTTGGGCGAGGTGCTTCTCCTCTCCAAATGTCAGTTTCCTCATCAGTCAGATGGAGATGATAACTGTTCCCACCACACAAGCCTGAGGCAGAGTCCCTGCAGTCACCTGCGCTTGTATTTCAGTAAGCTGTGATGAGGAACAAATTCTTTCCAAAATCCAGGCACATGGGGATTATTCTTAACTTTTATGAAGCTTTGTTATGGAACTTTTCACACATATACAAATATAGATAGTAGTAACCATGAACTCCTGTGTGCTCACCGCCTAGATTCATCAGTTATCAACATTTGGCCAAACTTGTTTCTTCTCTCCTTTCACACACTTCCTCCTCCGTCCAAATGTTGTTTTTTTTTAACATTTTGCTCCAAAAACATTTCGGAATCATCTTGTAAAAGATTTCTGGTACAGAGATGACAGGATCAAATGACATGAAGTATAGCAACAAAACAGTGGGAAGAACACAGGTGTTTTCAGAGCTTGCGTGTCTTGGGGCAAGGTCCCGAACCTCTCTGGGCCTGAAAGTGTTTTCTGTGAGAGGGAAGAGGACGATCCCTCCCTCGGAGGACGGTGCGGAAAACAGCGCTGCTCAGGGATCTGAAGGAGGAAGGACAGGCCAGAGGGGAGCGGGGCTTCCCCGTCAAAGCGGCTGTGAAAGGGGACGCCGTTCTCTTTCTGCCCGGCCCCTGCCATCTCCTGGAAGCCTCACGGTCGCCCTGTGCTCCCCACCACCTCTCGGGAGCCGGGGACACGGGCCTGGAGGGGCTCTGAGGAGGCCCTCTTTCGAGCCTGTGGAGTCCGAGCTGCTCCGGCTTCGGGCCCGCCTCTGCCTTAGACGGTGGCTCCCGTGCCCCCTCTAGAGGCTGGGCTCAGCCGTTTCGCCTTCTGGCGATGCCAAAGCTGGGAGACTGGGGACCCCCAGGGAGGCCTAGAGGGTCGGAGACCTGGTGAGAGAGACAGGGCGGGAGGACAGCAGCCCCCTGGCCCCACGCACTGGGCCCCTCGGAGGAGACTGGCCGGGCAGCCCTCTCGGCTCCCCGACTCACACGGCTGTCTGCTGGCTCCCCAGGGGCACGGGTGGCAGCCGCCGACTTAGACAGCAAGCTGGCGATGGGTGCAGAGCCCCTGCCTGTGCTGTCGGACATCGGCCACGGGCTCGCTCAGGGGGGAATTTCAGGAGCTTCAGAAAACAAGGGTCTTTACTTGTCTGGATGGAAACCGACCCTAATCACAGAGCACTGCGTCCGGGAGAACTTGAAAGCACCCTGGAGAGCGCTGCCCCTCACCCAGGCCACCCTGCCACGGCAGCCTCCGCGCTGATGCCGGCTCTGAGAACGACAGAGAAAACAGTCCGGCCCCTGCCCTCCGCCACTGGGGGAGCTGAGGCGGCAGGGCGGCCCGGCGCTCCAGATGTGGGCACCAGCAGCGCCAAGGGGCGCCTGGGCTTTCTCAGCGGGAGTTCCCCGGGCCTGCCTGCGTCCACCAAGATCACACAGCCTGCGTCCACAAGGGGTAGAGATCACTGAGCAAATGAGACAAGGTCAAAGGCCCTCCCCACATTTGGAAGATTCACCAAAAAAAAAAAAAAAACCAACAGATAAGCTTGAGGTTAACACCACTAGAAAATTCTTAAATGAATTAGCACACAGTAAGTGGCAATTTGGAGTGGATATGGGTTCTATAGAAACAAGTCCTGCTAAATTGTTTGCATGTTTTTAAAAATAGGGGCAGTGCGCGGCTCTATCAAACTATAGCCACATAGGTACTTCGTCCTTGACTTGAGCAGGCTCTGCGGTCTACCTTGGAGAGGCTGACTGACGAGAAGCGGGTCGAGGCTGGGTTTGTCCAATCTGGTAATGTGTGTGGGTCCCTCCTGTTCATTCTGGGCACCAGCAAAGAGAGACCCAGCATGGCCTTCATGGAGCTGGTTCTCCAGTGAGAGGCTTGGGCAGGGGCTATGAAGGAAGGGAACGCAGCTTGGAGGAAGAAGGCTGTACAGGTCCTGCCTTGGCTGTGGGGCAGGAGAGATGGTGGGTTGGGGTGGGGGTGGCCTGTGTCTGGAGCACAGACAAGAGGAGCAAGGCCACACGGAGGCCACTCAGCGTGGCCAGAGCTGACCTCAGGACCCCGAGCCACGTCGGGCTTTCGTCTTTGCAAAACCTTAGGGGAGGAGGGTGCAGTGGTTAGATGTGTGTTTGGAACAGAACGCTCTTGCGGCAGGGTGGAGTGGACAGAGGCTGGCGGGAATGCACGGGGCCCACCGAGGAGGCGGCTGCAGCCATCAGGGAAACAACTGTGGCCTCCACCACATACACTGTGGCGGGAGACACGGAGAGAGAAGCAAGCAAAATCAAGAGGGCTGCTGATGGTCTGGAGCGGCCTAAGGGAGGTGGTTGAGGATGGCTTCCAGCCGCGCGCCTGAGATGGGGGGCAGCCCTGTGGAGGATAGCATGACTTCTGATGGCATGTGTCTGGTCCAGGTAGCCCCTCACCCATGTGGCTCTGGAGATCAGAGGAGAACTCTGTCCACGCACTGTCCGTACAGTGTCCATGCTAAACGACACTCTGGGGGTGAACCAGAAAACCCAGGAGTGAAGTACACAGGATGATCAAGAGAGGAGATGAGGCAGGAGGAGCGCAGCATGCAGCCACAGGGCAGACCAACAAGCCCGTGGACGGCCCAAGGCAGGGGAGCTGGGGAGCCGAGGCAGACGCTGCCTGAGAAACAGCGCCCTGGCTCTCCTGACAGCAGGTCCTCAGTGACAGCGAGGGTCAGCCTGGTGACGAGTGCAGTCAGGTGGGCTGGTGGAGGGCTGAGTGGGAGATGCAGGAGCTCGACAGCCAGTGTAGCCCCCTCCAGACTGAGTAGCGGAGAGATGGGGGGGGTGGAGGTGTAGGGGCTCGCTGGTGGCCAATGTGTGTTCTGGGGCTGACTCTGGCTGGACATGACTCGCTGTCTTCCTGACACTCAGATGAAAACCTGGGAGGCAGCATGTATGGTAAGCATACTTTGGGATACAGCCCTGACAGCTCAGTTGGGAAAGAATCCACCTGCAATGCAGGAGACCCCGGTTCGATTCCTGGGTCGGGAAGACCCACTGGAGAAGGGATAGGCTACCCACCCCAGTATTCTTGGGCTTCCCTCGTGGCTCAGCTGGTAAAGAATCTTCCTGCAATGCAGGAGACCTGGCTTCGATCCCTCGGTTGCGAAGATCCCCTAGACGAGGGAACAGCTACCCACTCCAGTATTCTGGCCTGCAGTATCCCATGGTCTGTACAGTCCATGGGGTCACAAAGAGTTGGACACAACTGAGCAACTTTCATTTTCAAGTTGAGAGTGGGGTGTTCCTTCCACTGGCAACAAAGGGAAGTCAGACCTCAGCTCACCCACACACTGGGTGCCTTCTTGGTCTGTCCCTCACGACTCTGGGAGTCAGGGTCAGCATTAGGGTTTGGGTTCAGGATCAGGCTCCGTGTGTCCTGAGGGCTCAACCGAAGCTGTCCTGGCCACTCCACAGAGAAGCACTTTCATAAATTGTGGGGACACCATCTCCAACAAGGGTGGGCCTCAGTGCTCCTCTGAGCCCCGTCAGAGACTTAAGGGACTGCCGAGGTCCCCAGGCAAGCCCTACACCCTGCTGCCCACCTGCAAAATGCCTCTGGCATGGTGCGTATGAAGAACATGCATTTTTCCTATTGGAAATTACCTAGCAGTGCTGACTATTCACAACCTTCTCCTGAGGCATCTGGGACCAGGCCCCACTGGAAACCCCACCTGCCTGCCTGACACCTTTTTGCTGCCAGGAGTCCGGACCCCAGATGCCCACTGATGCTCCCAGGCCAGCTCCTGGCTCGAGGGGTTGAATCTACCTCTGGGGGAGCCATTTGCTGACAAACTGGGGGGCCTGATCTGTGGGTTATTGACAGCCTTTGGGAAGGTGAGGACATCTTGCTCCGTAAACCCAGCTAGCCTGAGGTGCCTTCCTTGGAAATAGTGGTCTCTGAGGGGCAATAATCGGTTTCGCTGTGGGGTGGGAGGGTGGTCCCTGCACCAAGCCCAGGGCATTTGAACTGCATGGTGAGGGGCCCTGTTGCTACAGTAAATGGTTATCAGGTGCCCGCTGCATGCCCAGAGCTCTATCACAGGTCAACTCCGATTCCCTGCTGCTGCCTAGCTATCACTGCAGGGGAGTAAACAACCGCACTGATCTCCTACAGTGGTCCCACAAGGAAGTCACGTAGGGTGAGCTGGAGAAGAGTGCACGGGGCAGAGGATGGACAGAAGGCTGGGAAAGGAAGACCTCTCTAAGCTAGGCCTGGGAGACAGGAAGGGACACCTATTAAAGCAAAAGGCTAGCATCCAGGGAAGGGCCCGTCCCACGCCTCCCTTCCTCCACTCCCTGGCAGTGCCTAGCCCACCTAGACAACTCGGGCTGCTTTGCACCCCAGTCATCCTCCCTGAGGTGTGCTCGACTCAGCTCCCACCGGCGATCCTGCGGCCTTTGCCCCAGCCAACCTTGACTGTGAGCCCCAACCCCAGCCTGTCCTGAGTTGGGTCCTGCTACAGGGTGGGAGCAGGTACAGGTACACCTAGGAGTAGCCCATCCATGTCAGCTGGGAAGCCTTCCTGTCTGAGACATTGCTATGCAATGCGAAGGTGGGTTTCCCAGCCTGAGCACCGTCTCTACCCCACTCCAGGCATACAGAAAGAGGATGCATCAGCTTCTGCAGGCTCTTCACCAGAAGCTGGCAGCTCTGGGCCAGGGACCGGAAAACCTGCTGGGCACCGACAAGCCCGTCTCCTACAGGACCAAGCCTCCAGCCTCCATCCACAGGGAGCTCCTTGGCATCTGCAGCGACCCCTACATGCTGGCTCAGCAGCTGACCCACGTGGAGCTGGTGAGCAGACCCACGCCACCCTCCACCCAGACCCAGAGCCTGGAATGCTGAGCGTAGCCAGCCACCCCTCCGCCATCTGGTCCCGCATCTCATCTCAGCCTAACCCGGGGTCTGACCCCATCCCTTCAGGGCCACCCCGGCATCTGCAGAGGGCCCTGACTCTGGAGCAGTCTCTCCCCATGCCTGGGGCGAGGAATAGAGGGCTGCAGGTACCAACCTTGCCCGACTTTGACCTCTGGCCTGTCTGAGTCCAGGCCTCAGACAGAGGAATGAGGTTCATATCCTGGCTCTGACACCACCAGATGTGTAATCAGCCCCACAGCTAGCACTTTCCCCGGCCAGGTCTCAGTTTTCCCCATCCAGGACTCACACAGCCACTGCAACCCACCCAAGCTTTCCAGAGAAGCGCAAACAGCCTTTATGGTCAAGACTTATATTCACTCTCATTTCATCTTCCCACCACCCGGCCAGGTGGGTATTATTATTATTCTCCTTTCACAAATGAGGAAGCTAAAGCCCAGAGCTTTAGTTTAAGTGATTTGCCACAAGTCACACAGCAGAAGGAGCAGAGCCAGGATTCGTTTCTGAGCCAGACCCCATGCTCTGAGCCCCCAGGCCTACCCTAGGGGGAGCGGATCATTGCGATGACCCAGTTTTGAGCCTGGCTTCCTAGGTATCTCACCCCTCGAGCGCTCCCTATGGAGACGCTGCCCCTACCCCTGTGAAATGCAGCAGCCCCTGGGCATAGGAAGGGAGGGGCTGACACCTTCGGGATGGTGCTGAGCTCTGACAACCTGGGACAGGGCTATGGACCCCCCGTGAGAAGGGCATTGGGCCCATGCCAGGCGGCCAGCAGACATCCCTTTCTCCTTTTCCTGACCCCTCTTCTCTCTCCGCTGCAGGAACAGCTGCGGCACATTGGACCTGAGGAGTTTGTCCAGGCTTTTGTGAACAAGGACCCTCTGGCCAGCACAAAGGTAGAAGGCCCGTGGACGGACTGTCCAGGCAGGGACCCCTACCCACGAGTCCCTCTGTGGGATTCCCAGAGCACCAGCTCAGCCAGCTCCAGAGGGGCCCGGAACAGAGCAGATGGGCTTGGCGGGGACGTGCCCATTCCACCCATGCCCCTAGCCTAAGGCTGGTACATCCCAGCAGCCCTGAGTCCCAGGGAAGCCTGGGAGGGCGGGATGAGTCTGACAGGGTCAGCCACCCAGCGAGGGTCGGGGGCAGTCCACCATCCAAAGCCCTGGCTGGGTTAAAGGGTGGAGGTTCACCCCAAGGCTGCTACAAGACCCGGGTGTGCCCTCCCCGTGTGTCGTGGTGGGCGCCGATGCCCTCTAGTGGCCACTTGGGGAACGCAGGCCGATGCATGCTGTCCAAGAAGTTCAGGGCACACGCTCTTCCCTCCGAAGGCGGATTACACTCCGAATTTCAGAGCCTGCCCCTCTCTCTGAGAGCCCATTCATCAGTCTACCTGGTGTTTATCAAGGAGTTAAATCTGAAGCAGAACTGGAAATATTATGTCTTCTTCCCTGGCACCTAATAAAAGAAGCACAAACTAAATGTACAATTGCATTTCGCTTCCAGGATAAGCAGAGATTAAACATTGTGGGGCTGTGCGGGTGTGTAGGGAAAGGAGTAGTCTCACAAACGGCTGGTAGGGGGTGAAATTGGCACAGCCACTTTGGAGAGCAACTTGGCAATAGAACCAACACTTGAAATGTACACTCTGGACCCTGACTTTTCACACCTAACAATTTATCCTACAGGTATATACACACACGTGTATACACAAAGGTGTACACACAGAGATATCTGGGATATTTTTCTGTGTTTTATGGCCAAAGGCTGGAAGCCAACTACCTTACCATCCACAGGGATTCGACTAAATATTGTAATTCATCCATACATAGAAGGCTGTGCAACGGTTAGAATAAGAGCGTCTGTAAGAATGGAATGAAGGACATGGTGTCTTTGGTGGCTCAGACGGTGAAGAATCTTCTAGCAGTGCAGGAGATCTGGGTTCAGTCCCTGTGTTGGGAAGATCCCCTGGAGATGGGAATAGCAACCCACTCCAGTATTCTTGCCTAGACAATTACATGGACAGGGGAGCCTGGCAGGCTATAGTCCGTGGGGGTGCAAAGAGTTGGACATGGCTAACACTTTCTTGGGCCTCCCTGCTTGCTCAGATGGTAAAGAATCTGCCTGCAATGAGGGAGACCTGGACTCGATCCCTGGGTTGGGAAGATCCCCTGGAGGAGGGAATGGCAACCCACTCCAGTATCCTGGCCTGGAGAATCCCCATGGGCAGAGGAGCCTGGTGGGCTACAGTCCATGTGGCCACAAAGAGTCAGACACGACTGACTGACTAAGCAAAGGACACAGCAAGGATGGGATATTTGCCAAAGATCCATTGTTGAGAGATGAAAAAGTAAAGAGCAGTGTCAAAGAGCATGTGACCATCAGTGTAACAAAAGACACATAATACACACCTGCTTGTATGTATGTGTGGACAATCTCTAGGATCAACGGTACTCTGAGTAGCTCATCATGGACCTGGGAGCAGGAGCGGGGAGACTTTGCTGCTGTTAGTGGGTTGTTTGTTTTTCTGTTTTGTTTTGTTTGGGGTTTGGGCCATTTCCAAGTATTATTTTTTATTGTGAAAAACATCATGATTGTTTACCCACTCTACTGTAAATGAACATTTCTGTGTTCTAGCCTCTCAGCTATTATAGATATTGCTGCTATGAACATTCTTATACATTTCCTATGTATGTGGGTACATTTGTTTCTAGAGCATCAAGTAGTTTAGTCCCAGGACAGCTTTCAGTCTTAAAAATTATGGAGGACCCCAAAGAACTTTTGGTTATGTAGATTAATTACAGAAAGTTCCCTACATACGAATGACTTCCATTTTGAGAGCACGTTCATAAGTCCAATTTGTTCATAAGTCCAGCAAGGTTAGCCTACATAGCCAACTAATACAATTGGCTATATAGTACTCTGCTGTACTAGGTTTGTAATACTTTTCACACAAATAATACATAAAAAACAAACAGAAAAATAGAGAAAACATCTGAAGTCTTACAGTACAGTACTTTGAAACTCACAGGACAGTACAGCACTGGCATACGGGGGCTGCTGGAGAAGGGAGAGGAGGTGGGAGACGCTGGAACTGAAGGAGAAACAGCCATAGACGATGGAGGGCAAGCTGCCACTCGCTCATGTCTGATGTTGATGGAACGCACATTCACATCGTTGAAAGTTCACAACTTGCAGGTTCATATGTAGGCACCTTATTGTCATAAGAGCTGCCTGTATTTATTATATTGGGCTTCCCTGTGACTCAGAGGTAAAAAATCTGCCTGTCAATACAGGAGACATGGGTTTGATCCCTGGGTCAAGAGATCCCTTGGAGAAGGAAATGGCAACCCACTCCAGTATTCTTGCCTGGGAAATCCCATGGAGAGAGGGGCCTGGTGGGTTACAGCCCATGGGGTTGCAAAGAGTTAGACAACACTTAGCAACTAAACAACATTTATTATATTAGCCTATAAGGCCAATAACTTTAAAAAATGTTTATTCAAAGTCATAATAATCCATTATATGTTAATAAGTTACATATTTTATGAAAAATAACTCTATTTTCCAAAAAAAATTAATGAGTGATATTGCTTTACAGTATTTTTAAAAATTTCCCTCAGTTCAGTTCATTCGTTCAGTCATATCCAACTCTTTATGACCCATGGACTGCAGCACACCAGGCCTCCCTGTCCATCACCAACTCCCCGAGTTCACTCAAATGCATTTCCATTGAGTCGGTGATGCCATCCAACCATATCACCCTCTGTCATCCCCTTCTCCTCCTGCCTTAAATCTTTCCCAGCATCAGGGTCTTTTCAAATGAGTCAGCTCTTCACATCAGGTGGTGAAAGTATTGGAATTGCAGCTTCAGCATCAGTCCTTCCAATGAATATTCAGGACTGATTTCCTTTAGGATGGACTGGTTGGATCTCCCAGCTGTCCAAGGAACTCCCAAGAGTCTTCTCCAATACCACAGTCCAAAAGCATCAATTCTTTGGTGTTCAGCTTTTCTTTATAGTCCAACTCTCACATCCATACGTGACCACTGGAAAAACCATAGCTTTGAATAGATGGACCTTTGTTGGCAAAGTAATGTCTCTGCTTTTTAATATGCTGTCTAGGCTGGTCATAACTTTCCTGCCAAGGAGTAAGCGTCTTTTAATTTCATGGCTGCAATCACCACCTGCAGTGATTTTGGAGCTCCAAAAAGTTGTCTGTCGCTGTTTCCACTGTTTCCCCATCTATTTGCCATGAAGTGATGGGACCAGATGCCATGATCTTAGTTTTCTGAATGTTGAGCTTTAAGCCAACTTTTTCACTGTCCTCTTTCACTTTCATCAAGAGGCTTTTTAGTTCTTCTTCACTTTCTGCCATAGTGTGGTGTCATCTGCATATCTGAGGTTATTGATATTTCTCCCGGCAATCTTGATTCCAGCTTGTGCTTCATCCAGCCCAGCGTTTCTCATGATGTACTCTGCATATAAGTTAAATAAGCAGGGTGATAATATACAGCCTTGACGCACTCCTTTTCCTATTTGGAACCAGTCTGTTGTTCCATGTCCAGTTCTAACTGTTGCTTCCTGACCTGCATACAGATTTCTCAGGAGGCAGGTCAGGTGGTCTGGTGTTCCCATCTCTTGAAGGATTTTCCACAGTTTATTGTGATCCACACAGTCAAAGGCTTTGGCATAGTCAATAAAGCAGAAATAGATGTTTTTCTGGAACTCTCTTGCTTTTTCGATGATCCAGCAGATGTTGGCAATTTGATCTCTGGTTCCTCTGCCTTTTCTAAATCCAGCTTGAACATCTGGAAGTTCACAGTTCACGTACTGTTGAAGCCTGGCTTGGAGAATTTTGAGCATTACTTTACTAGCGTGTGAGATGAGTGCAATTGTGTGGTAGTTTGAGCATTCTTTGGCATTGCCTTTCTTTGGGATTGGAATAAAAACTGATCTTTTCCAGCCCTGTGGCCACTGCTGAGTTTTCCAAATTTGCTTGTATATGGAGTGCAGCACTTTCACAGCATCATCTTTTACGTTTTGAAATAGCTCAACTGGAATTCCATCACCTGCATTAACTTTGCTCATAGTGGTGCCTCCTAAGCCCGGCTTGACTTCGCATTCCAGGATGTCTGGCTCTAGATGAGTGATCATGCCATCATGATTATCTGTGTCATGAAGATCTTTTCTGTATAGTTCTTCTGTGTATTCTTGCCACCTCTTCTTAATATCTTCTACTTCTGTTCGGTCCATACATTTCTGTCCTTTATTGTGCCCATTTTTACATGAAATGTTCCCTTGGTATCTCTAATTTTCTTGATCTAGATCTCTAGTCTTTCCCATTCTATTGTTTTCCTCTATTTCTTTGCATTGATCACTGAGGAAGGCTTTCTTATCTCTCCTTGCTATTCTTTGGAACTCTGCATTCAAATGGGTACATCTTTCCTTATCTGCTTTGCCTTTCGCTTCTCTTCTTTCATAGCTATTTGAAAAAAAATCTCTCTAGTGACTGACAATAGAAGACTGCTGAATTCTCTCAATTTTCATTCAGTCTCTTGACCTAACATTATATTGATTGAAAATACAACTTCCTCACACAAATATGTTGTTGGAAAAGGAAGGAGTATATTACGGCCTTTTCAAGTAATTGTGAATATTCTTCTTTGATACTACACTAAAACTCAACAAGGGATAATTTTTTACAATTAATTGTAGTTTGGAATCTGAACTTATCACATTAAAGTCATTGGTCCATCTTGAAATGACAACTCACTTCAGTATTCTTGCCTGGAAAATCCCATGGACAGAGGAGCTTGGCAGGCTGCTGTCCATGGGGTCACAAAGAGTTGGACACGACTGAGCAGCTAAACCACACATCATGAATGGATCTTTTTGCCCATGCATGATTTTGACATGCATTTTGGAAAATATGGGTTCAGCTAATCAAGCAGATCTTCTTCTGAATGTGACATATTTCATTAGATGATATTTTAAAATAATATTCATGTATATATTCACTACTAATATCATCCAAATAAGTTCTGAAGTATTGGGAAGCTGTCAAGCTCCAGAGGCAGATATGTGTTTTTTAGGTCCCCAATTTTCTCTTGAATTTTATCCTTGGCAACAAATACTATCAATTGTTTTCCTTGAAGTTACAGGATGATTTTAACTGATTTTAAAGGCAGTATCAGCCAAATACTGAAATGTGAATAACCATAGTGGGTCAGTCTTTTTTCAGGTAAGAATGGTGCTCCATGAGTAAAGGTCAGCTCACGCCGGGTGCACCAGAGCGCTTCCATAAGAGTACCGTGAGACCTGTGTGTACAGTCCTCACTGCATACCTGCAGCTTCTGCAACCACAGATTCCACCTCTCAGATTAAAAATATTAGAAAAAATTAAAGTTCAAGAATGTTCTAAAAAAGCAAAACTTAAATTTGCCGTGTACCAGGCCACTATTTACACAGTTTTTACATTGTATTGGGTATTATAAGTAAACTAGAGGTGATTTAAAGTATACAGGAGAATGTGCATGAGTTTATGCAAATACTATGCCACTTTACATAAGGAACTTGAGCATCCTCAGATTTTGGTGTCCAAGAGGGGTGGTGGAACCATTCACCTAAGGATACACACAGATGACGGCACTCCCGTCCTGTCACACAGAATATGAAAAAGACATGCACTCAAGGGTTGAGATTTAATAAAGCATAAACTGAAGTTTATGTCCCCAAGAACATTCTTAAGTCACACTCACTTTTTTCTTTTAAGTGAGTACTAGTGAAGAACACAATGGTATCATTTGGGGATTCTGATTCAGTGCAGGCTAAGGAAGCAGTAACTTTACCCATCATTCTATTATGTATCAGTGCAAATGTTATGACAGTGAAAAGGCAGTAATATTTATGAATATGAAGATAGGTTTGCCTTTGTGGACCTCCTGAAAGGGTCCTGGAGACCCCCAGGAGTCCAGGGACAACACTTTGAAGTGTTGCTCTAGGATATACCTGTGAAAGGAATCACTATGAAAGGAATCACTGCCTACCCTGTGTCAGTCACAGGGTACACAGATGGTCAGCCTTACCAGGTGATGCCAAGTGAGGCTGTTTCCATTTACACTGCCACCAGGGAGTTAGTCTTGCTCCACAGCCTCATTGACACTTGAAGTCATCAAACTTTAATTTTTGTCAAACTGTTAAATGGAGCATCTTTTCATGCGTTTTGGACCTTCTTGTTTTCTCCTCTATGAAATGCCCTAATTTTTCTTCAGTTTTCTATTACTGATTTGTCTTTTTTTCTTAAGGATTTTTAAGAGTTTTGTGTGAGTATTTAAAATATGTACTAGTTAATTATCCCTTGTCAGTTAGATGTACTGCAAATTTTCTTCCCCTAGTTGATTGCTTTGCCCTTCATTCTCATTATTGTGTCTTTTAATGAATAGGTGTTCTTAATTCCCTCCTTATAAGGAATTTGCATTTTTGGATTATTTCTGCCTTCATATTTTGAAGCTATGCTATTCAGTTAAGTTCAGTTCAGTCACTCAGTCGTGTCTGACCCTTTGCGACCCCATGAATCGCAGCACGCCAGGCCTCCCTGTCCATCACCAACTCCCGGAGTTTACTCAGTCATGCCCATCGAGTCAGTGATGCCATCCAGCCATCTCATCCTCTGTCATCCCCTTCTCCTCCTGCCCCCAATCTCTTCCAGCATCAGGGTCTTTTCCAATCAGTCAACTCTTCACATGAGGTGGCCAAAGTGTTGGAGTTTCAGCTTCAGCATCAGTCCTTCCAATGAACACCCAGGACTGATCTCCTTGAGGATGAACTGGTTGGATCTCCTTGCAGTCCAAGGGACTCACAAGAGTCTTCTCCAACACCACAGTTCAAAAGCATCAATTCTTCAGTGCTCAGCTTTCTTTACAGTCCAACTCTCACATCTATACATGACCACTGGAAAAACCATAGCCTTGACTAGACGGACCTTTGTTGGCAAAGTAATGTCTCTGCTTTTTAATATGCTGTCTAGGTTAGTCATAACTTTCCTTCCAAGGAGTAAGCGTATTTTAATTTCATGGCTGCAATCACCATCTGCAGTGATTTTGGAGCCCCCAAAAATAAAATCTGACACTGTTTCCACTGTTTCCCCATCTATTTGCCATGAAGTGATGGGACAGGATGCCATGATCTTAGTTTTCTGAATGTTGAGCTTTAAGCCAACTTTTTCACTCTCCTCTTTCACTTCCATCAAGAGGCTTTTTAGTTCCTCTTCACTTTCTGCCATAAGGGTGGTATCATCTTCATATCTGAGGTTATTGATACTTCTCCCGGCAATCTTGATTCCAGCTTGTGCTTCATCCAGCCCAGCATTTCTCATGATGTACTCTGCATATAACTTAAATAAGCAGGGTGATAATATACAGCCTTGACATACTCCTTTTCCTATTTGGAACCAGTCTGTTGTTCCATGTCCAGTTCTTAACTGTTGCTTCCTGACCTGCATATAGATTTCTCAAGAGGCAGGTCAGGTGGTCTGGTATTCCCATCTCTTTCAGAATTTTACAGAGTTTATTGTGATCCACACAGTCAAAGGCTTTTGTGTAGTCAATAAAGCAGAAATAGATGTTTTTCTGGAACTCTCTTGCTTTTTCGATGATCCAGTGGATGTTGGCAATTTGATCTCTGGTTCCTCTGCCTTTTCTAAAACCAGTTTGAACATCTCAAATTTCATGATTCATGTATTGCTGAAGCCTGGCTTGGAGAATTTTGAGCATTACTTTACTTAGGTGCAGACAAATTTAAACTCATGCTATATTCTCAATAAGTCAAAAATTTTATCTTTATGTAGTTACCCTTGAAACTCTTTTAATGCTTCTTGCCTTAGAGTCTTTTTTTGCCTTAAAGTCTATTTTGTCTAATATTAGGATAGATATGTGATATTTATCATGCATATTTTTCTATTTTTATTTATAGCCCTGTGTTTGGGGTGTAGCTCTTGAAAATAGCAGGTGGTTGGATTTTTTTTAATTAGTGACTAAACAAATCCATATAGAGTAATTTCTGATGTGTATGGACTTGTTTTTACTGTCTTCTGTTGTGCCTTGCCTTCTTTACCTATTCTTTTTTCTTTCTTTGCTTCTTTTGGATTCTCTGAAATTGTGATACACTTATACAGTGGATTTATAAAATTGTGCTTCCATTTTTTAAATATGTTTCTAAAAGCCATTTGATAGCACAAGAGAAGGTTCATGTGGGAAAACATGGAAATATATATACTTATAGATAGAAACATACATACATAAGATTAATCCTCATTATTTGCCATCCTTATATCCTATAGTCATCATGAACACTGAAGTGGCAAATACTGAGTCCTTAACTCCTAGGAAAATATAAGATTAGTTTCCTTGCGAGTCTCTCATCACAGCTTTCTCATCAACCAGTCAATACATAACCTTGATTTGTGTCTCTGTTTAATGAGACGTTATATTGTTGATTCAGTAACACTGAATTCATAGCCAACAGTACTGCAACGCACGTCTGAATGAAGCTCCTCAGACACATTTTTTTCCTTAGCGCACATGTCAGCCTTCGTGTGCTCAGGAACACAAGACCGAGATTGCACGGCAGCGCTCTGCTGAGGGTTCCATCTCTGTGCTTGGGGCCACTTTGACCAGTGAAATCACCAACAAATATCACAAAAATGCAAAAACTGACACTAAACAGATTAGAAAAAGGACACTTGTTTACAGTACAGAAGCTGAAACCAGAAGTCAGGGCATCAGCCCAGCCTCAGCCGGGAGCACTCAGGTGCACTGGGTGACGGAGGCCTTCCGCTCCGCGCATGTCCACAAGGGACCAAGAAGTGATGTGAGGATGAATTTGGAGGTTACAAATGAAGTGAAAGTTTAGGAAGCAAACACGAAATGTATGCATAATGAGCATTAATTGTGTGTAGGGGTATATGATATATACATACATTAAGTTACATCTTTAGGTGTATAGAAAATATAACTAGAAGAATATGTCAAATCATTGATATTTGTGGATGGTTTTGAGGTTTCAACATTTCTGAGATCATCTATAATGATGATGGCAGACTTTTTAAAAGTTATTCATGTTCAAAAAGTTATTAACAAAAAATCTGAGCATGGTTCTTGTGTCTTTCCTAGCCTCGTTTCAGTGACAAGACTAACAACCTGGAAGCTTACGTGAAATGGTTCAACAGACTGTGCTACCTCGTGGCTACTGAGATCTGCATGGTGCGTAGGAAGCCAGCCCCTGAGCTGGCATGGCCAGAGCTGGCCGGGGCTTGAGAGGAGCCCATGGGGAGGGGGTGGGGGGGGGGACCAGAAGACCATGATGAGCCCATCTGTCTCCTAGCCCAGAGCCAGGCTGGGCACCCTCTGGGACACCAGGTGTTACCTGGCTTGCCTGTAGAGACATTTTCCCCCTGGGTAGAGCCTGACATGAAGCCACCTGCCAGTCACAGAGGGAGTCAGAGAGATTCTTGCTGAGGGAGAGGGGAGTAGGCTATCCGCTTCTCCCATCTGTGCCTGGGGTGGCCTGGCCTGCAGCTGAATTCTGTTTGGCTCACTCGGGACTTAGAGGTAGAAATAATCCAGCTTTAAGAAGTGGGAGCGATCTCTTTGAAGTCCAGGACCCTGGCATCTCCCAGAAAGCGGGGCGACTCAGCAGCACTGAGCCGGACGTGCTCGCCCCCGGATCTCAGCCCCGCAGGGCCAGACGCTGCCGAGCCTCCCGCTCCTTACGGCGGCGGGACCATCTCCCGAACCCACCCCTTCACTGTGAGGCGAAGCCCAGGGCCCCTGTCTCAGGGACAGTTTGGAGGTAGCATATGTGCTGGGGTGCGCTCTCTAGAAGCAGACAGAGCTTGGGGGAAAGGGGTTTGCTTATGAGGCCAACGCAGGCAATCGAGAAAGCGGGAGGGGCTCCAGCGGCTCCCGTCACGACGCCCACAGCCCCCCACCCCAGTGGTCGAGCCTGCTCGTCCACCTTGCTTGGTCATCGTCGCCATCACTGTGGGGCTGCCCTCCAAAGCACAGCAGGACCTCAGGCGGGCAGCTCTCTGAAGGGTCAGGTGTCCCAGCTCCACCAGTAACACAACACACGTCTCAGCGGGAGTAAAGACCACGGCCGCACGTCTGGGAGGCAGGCGATCTCCTTGGAGAGGACAGTGTGGGGTTCGTGAGCCCTGCCTCTTCTGATGTCGCATCACTGGCCTGGGAGCGAAGAGAGATGGGGCTTTACCTGGGCAAAACCTGGACTGAGTCACCAGAGCCGGCAGCACTCGGCCCGGAGAAGAACACGGGTCTGCTTCCGAGCGGTCAGAGGCCAGAGTCTCACCCACTCAACTGGAATTGGGGGTGAAGTCACACAGTCCGTTGACAGAAAGCAGTGGTGGGGCTGCTAGGGGACAGGGAGTCAGAGAGGTCACTGTGTGGCCCCCACACCCCATGCAGAGTGAAGGCTGTTTGGTGCTGGGAAGAGAGGTGAGGTGGCTCTGCTTCCTGCATCTCAGGGAAGAGATGCTGGAACTGAGCCTGAGAGGAGGGGGACATGAGGGGCCCGCATGCCCCTCATGTTGCAGGCGGCTCGTGTGTCCCCACAGGAGCCCCACCACCCCCCACTTGACCCTCTGTGCTGCCTCCCCCTGGGGTGTGGTGAGACCCTGAGTCCTCAGGCTGCAGATCGCCCTGGTCCCAAGTGTCTCAGCTGGAAAGGTTAATGAGGGGCAAGATGCGTAAGCAGGTCAGCATGGGGTGGGGACCCCTCGTCACTGAGGCTCCGGTGCCCTATCCCCAGCCAGCCAAGAAGAAACAGCGGGCCCAGGTGATCGAGTTCTTCATCGACGTGGCCCGGGAATGCTTCAACATCGGCAACTTCAACTCCCTGATGGCCATCATCTGTGAGTGGGCCGGCCAGGCCTGGGGCCCCCAGGGCGGGTGCTCCCAGAGAGGGCCGAGCGGGCGCAGCCAGGCAGTGGGGTGCAAGCCAGGATGTGCCTCTGAGCAGGAGGCGGGTGCAGGCTGGGCCCCCATTCCCCCACCCCACCCCACAGGTCCTGGGGAGGTGCCCCTTTAGAGGCGAGCCCAGCCCTTTCAATGTGCTTGGTGAGAGCTTGGCGGTGTGTACCCAGATTCAGGGTGAGTGGGGACCCAGAGCAGGCTCCTGATCGCAGTATAAGGCCTGTACTGTGGGCACGGGGACAGGGGCTTGCACATACAGAAGCCAGGCTGACCTGGACACAGTCCATTAGCGCCCACCCACTCCCCATCTGGCAGGCTGAGGCTCCCCCAAATGTCAGCCCTGGTCAGGGTACAGCCTGAGAGGATTAGGGGATCAGCCAGCTGGAGGCTTCCCAGAGGAGCTGTGTAGCAATAAAACTATGCAGCCCAGAAGAGCCCTGCCAGCCCGGCCCTGCCCCAGCTCAGCCATCCCTCTTCCAGCGGGCATGAACATGAGCCCGGTCTCCAGGCTGAAGAAGACTTGGGCCAAAGTGAAGACGGCCAAGTTTTTCATCCTCGAGGTAAGCAAGGCTGCTCGACTCCTGGGTGCCGCCAGCATCCCCAGGACACAGTTGCCCAAATGCCTCCCTGTCTCCTTCCAGCACCAGATGGACCCAACGGGCAACTTCTGCAACTACAGAGCAGCCCTGAGAGGGGCAGCCCACCGCTCCCTGACTGCCCACAGCAGCCAGGAGAAGGTAGGTCGGAGGCTTGCCTCGCCCTCAGAGCTGCTCCTGCTCCAGGCCCCCTGGGCTCAGGAGGGCTGTGTCAGAGATCCTAGGTGGGGCTGGAAGGCCACTTGGTCCAATCCCTGCCCTTCTATCACCCCTCTAATAGACAGTCATGCCATCTTGCTTGAATGCCTCCAGTAGAGTGAACTCACCACTTCCCCAAACAGATCAACACACTCCCCAGCAGCTCCAGCTGGTAGCTAGATGGATGGATGGGTCAATGGAAGAATAGATGGAAGAAGGATAAATAGATGGGTGGAAGGGTGCGAGGAGGGGAGGGAGGAGAGATGGAAGGAAGAATGGAAGGCCAGAGGTTGGAAGGAAGGAAAGAGGGAGGAAATACAGGTGGAGAGGAAGCCCCGCAGCCCTCAGTTCCCCAGGCTGGAACTTTGAGGCCAGAAGTTCACTCTGCTTTCTTCCCGCCTGTGGCTGGCTCCTTCTGCCCCTCCCACGCCCCCCATCTCTGTCATGAAGCCCCTCCACACAGGTCTCTCTGGGTGACCTCCGTGTTGAGCTGGGTTCTGATGGAACTGCTCAGGTCCAGAAAACAAGGGCACAGGTTTGCAGTCGTGAAGACACACAGAAGTGGTGAAAAATTCTCCCGCGTGGGAAATGCTGCCAGCCTGAGCACTGCTCCAACGGCCCTGCCTCCACGAAGCCTGCACCAGGCACCCAAGGGGCCACCTCTGTCCCCAGAGCCCCACTGCCCTTAATCCCCACCCTCTATCCATCTCAGCGGGGCTCCCCATTCCAACTCCATTTAGCCATCACACCCCGGAACTGGACTAGGCACTCTGCACCACAGGGAGGGGCTGGAGACTGATGGAGACCACCCCTCTCCGGGCCCACTGAGGAAGAGGGTAGGACAGGGATCTGGAGCAGAGCCTGCTGGTCCTGTCCTGCGTCCACTGCTTACTGCTCTATGAGCTCCTATGAGCTTCTGTACCTCAGTTAGTAAAGAATCCGCCTGCAATGCAGGAGGCCCAGGTTCGATTCCTGGGTCAGGAAGATCCCCTGGAGAAGGGATTGGCTACCCACTCCAGTATTCTTGCCTGGAGAATCCCATGGACAGAGAAGCCTAGGAGGCTACAGCCTAGTCCATGCGGTCACAAGAGTCAGACACGACTGAGCAACTAAACCACCGCCATGAGTTACTTACCCCGAGTCCCAGCTTCCTCATCTGTGAGCTGGGGTAATAAAAGCCCTCCTTCACAGAACAGTGATGAGGATGAAATGTGGTCCCACCTGTACACAGTTTAGCACACGAAGTGCCCAGGCCCACCCCTGACGCCCCAGTGACCAGGGTGGAAGTGGAGACAGCAAGGGTCTAAACATGGCTTGGGGAATGGCAAAGACATCCCTCATTGTGTAGGTTGTCTCCCACCATACTGGTATCAGGAATGAATATTTGTGACGTGCTCTCACTGTCTCCAAGCCCTGACATTTAGAAGACGTGAGCAAATGGTTGCTGAATTGACATAAATCCAGGTAACCAGTTCATCCCGGTTTGCCTGGGGCTGCCCCAGGTTTAGCACCACAAGTTCTGCCTTCTGGGAAACTCCTGCTGTTGACAAACCCTAATGAGCCTGGCTCTGCTCCTGGCTTAGTGGTCACTAGCTAGATGACCTTGTGCCAGGCCCTGACACTCTATGGGCCTCAGTTTCCCCCTCTGCCCTGCCCAGCTGAGCCATCCATGCTTCTGTGGTGTGCCGAGTGGTCAGTGCTCAGGCTCTCACCTCAAAGCCCTTGTCAGCTCGGATGGGGAATGATCTAGGCATTCCCTGAGCCAGAAGTCTCAGGACTTGAGGGATGCGCTGCAGGACTGGCCACATGTGCCCAGCTCTGGAGCCTGAGGGCAGAGCAAATGTGATATTTCCTGGGCTGGCAAAACACAGCACATAAACTGGGTAGCTTATAACAACAAAAATGTGCTATCTTACAGTGCCAGAGGCCAGAGGCCAAAGTCAAGGTTGGCAGGGCCACGCTGTCTCCGGAGGCTCTATGGAAACGTTCTTCTTTGCCTCTCCTGGTGTCCGATGGCCACAGGCATTCCTGGGCTTCTGACTGCATCACTCCTACCTGTCTGTTTTCACATGACTGTACGAAACAGATAGTATATGTCCAAATTTATCTCTTTTTATAAAAATACCTGCCCACATAATCCAGACCTCATCTCCAGTTGATTCCATCCATAGCAAGACTGTATCTCCAAATAAATTCCCGTTTGTAAGCACTGGGGTTTAGGATGTGAACATGCCTTTTTTGAGGGGCATGATTCAATCCACACATAAGGTAGACCCAACTGGCCCCCCAACGGTAGTCTGAGCGGTCAGCAGTTGGTCTCCTTTCTTTGTGCTAAGTGCTGAGTCACTTCAGTCGTGTCTGACTCCGTGTGACCCTGTGGATTGTAGCCCACCAGGCTGCTCCATCTGTGGGATTCTCCAGGCAAGAATACTGGAGTGGGTTGCCATGCCCTCTCCAGGGGATCTTCCCAACCCAGGGACTGAACCTGCATCTCTTACATCTCCTGCTTTAGCAGGCAGATTCTTTTTTTTTTTTTCCATTTATTTTTATTAGTTGGAGGCTAGTTACTTTACATCATTGCAGTGGTTTTTGTCATACACTGAAATGAATTAGCCATGGATTTACATGTATTCCCCATCCCGGTCCCCGCTCCCACCTCCCTCTCCACCCGATCACTCTGGGTCTTCCCAGTGCACCAGGCCCGAGCACTTGTCTCATGCGTCCAACCTGGGCTGGTGATCTGTTTCACCCTAGATAATATACGTGTTTCAATGCTGTTCTCTTGAAACATCCCACCCTCGCCTTCTCCCAGAGTCCACAAGTCTGTCCTGTACATCTGAGTCTCTTTTTCTGTTTTGCATATAGGGTTATCGTTACCATCTTTCTAAATTCCATATATATGTGTTAGTATACTGTAATGGCCTTTATCTTTCTGGCTTACTTCACTCTGTATAATGGGCTCCAGTTTCATCCATCTCATTAGAACTGATTCAAATGAATTCTTTTTAATGGCTGAATAATATTCCATGGTGTATATGTACCACAGCTTCCTCATGCATTCGTCAAGCAGGCAGATTCTTTACCACTAGCACCACCTGGGGTCACCAGGTGCAGAATAAGGCGGGAGAATCAAGACATCTGACAATGAAACAGAGACCTGGCCCTTCTCAGGCTGAGTGCAGAAGCCCGTCCCAGAATAGGGATGTTTCCTGGCCTTGCCCTGATATGGCAGGATCAGATCTTTAGCTTCAAGAAAGACATGGAGTAGCATATTGTTAACTATATTTGTAAAGGAGGCCACAGAATTTCACAACAGACGATTCACATTCCAATTTTTTAAATTCATAAAACCAAAAACTTAAAAAAAATTGTTCTATTTCCATCTATTGATTCTTGTTTTCATATTTATTTTATATTTAGCAGTGTGCTCAGCACACACCATTCCTCCTGGGGCACGTGAGTGGGGAGGCCTGTCTGTGGATCTGTGGGGGGAAGCTCCCACTGGCTTCTCCCAACAGACGATGGGAGAACTCTGCATCTTTCCCTCGGCCCCAGCATGAGTGGGGAATGGCATTGTATACAGCAGGAGCTCAATCAGCACTGGGGTCCGATGGGGCCTGGGAGAAAATAGTCTGGCTCCAGTTTGTGCCTCCCTTCTTTGTGGCTTCCACATTGCCCGCCCCGGTGCCCACCCCCCATATAGACTAAGTAGTCTATAACCCGTGGATCTCTGAGCCTGGGCCGCCTTGCCCAGGACGTCTCTCCTGCCCTCTGCATGGGGGTATCTGAGGGCCCTGGGGCAAGGGGCTGCCGACACGGCTGCCTCTCTCCTGTGCAGCCTCTGTGGGGAGGCCAGCTGAGGGCTGACCTGCACCCTCTCCCTTCCAGATCGTCATCCCCTTCTTCAGCCTGCTCATCAAGGATATCTACTTCCTAAATGAGGGCTGTGCCAACCGCCTCCCCAACGGACATGTCAACTTTGAGGTAGGGTCCAGGGCCTCGGAGGGCCTGCCACCAAGTTAGGCAGACTGATAAGAGCTCCCAGAGCAGAAGTTCTGGCCCCGAGTGGTTGGATTAATGTAGGAGTCTGAGGCAGAGTGCAGCAGTTTGCAGCCAGCATCAGGGCGGGACTGTTGGGGTCTCTCCGCATCTTCCACAGGAAGAGATTGAGGCTCATGAACACGTGGATCCCCACTGTGTAGGGGACTTGTGCCCAGCACAGGTGAAGTAGCATAATTTTCAGCCCTTGAGAAGCACCGGGCTGGTGAGAGAGAGAGCCGTGCCGACCCACGGTGACACCTGACGAGGTGCTGTGACAGGAGATGCAGAGGAGCACAGGTCAAGGTCAGGAGAGGCCTTCCAAAGGAGCGGCCCTTAGCAGCAGGAGGCGGTGGTCAGGCAACGTGGAAAGACGGACATGAAGACTCCCTCTCCCTCTGCAGATAACTCACCACCGGCAGCTCAAGTGTTCTTCCCTCCTCCAGGAAGCCCCCACTGACCGCAAGGGCAGAGGAAGGCCGTTTACATAGTGGGCTGTTAGTCCATCAGTCCCAGGCTCTCTAGAAGCAAGGCCAGGCTGATCCACTCCGTGTCTTGACCCGACACACAGACTCACCCAGCACATGTGTCTCAAAGTGGCCTGTGGGCTGGGCCTGGAAGGGGAGCAGTGGAGGAGGAGGCCCACGGGCACAGGCTTGTGAGAGCAGGCGGTCACTGAGTCAGACCGAGCATTGCATGAGCAGTCGTTCCCATCCACAGGGAAGCAGGGGCTTTTCTCCTGCAAGAGGGCCAGCCCTGCCCTGGCACAGCCCCACTCATTCTCCCACTGGTAGCAGTTCTGGGCGGGCCCCTCACTCTGTCCAGGTCTCAATCTCGGCTTCCACCACGACCACACAGAGGGCCTGCGAGGAGTGGACTTGCAGCAAGGATGGCCAAGGGCTCTGCCACTACCTCCTACTGACAGGGCCCACAGTGAATGCCTGGACTCTCTCACCTGGAGCTGCCTCTGCTGTGGGCCTCGCCTGGACACCCCAGCAGGTCTGCACGTGCTACCCACAGGCCTGATGACCCCTGAGGGCTGGGCATAGCTGGACGAAGCCCAGTTCAGCAGGTGGCCTGGGTGCCACATCCCAGGGTCACAGTCCAGGCTACAGGCAACAAGGAAGAGGCTGGACTTGGGAGAGACCACTGGGGCTAAGGGGGCCAAGGAGTTCACAGTGCACACCCTGTCTTTTGCCTTTCTTGAATTGGTCCTTATAGCCATGGCCTAGGAAGAAGGGTGTCTGGTTGGACAAGAAGGCAAGGTACTTAAGTGGCCGCAGATCCCTGGGCGTCAGCAGTAGGGGCTGGAGGCAGACACCAAGGCTGATCAGAGGAAGCCACAGAGTGGGGTTCTCACCCAGTCACAATTTTGTGTTTAAAAAGCCTTCTTTAAGTTAGCAGTTTTTAAATTTTTAAATAAGTGTATCTAAATTTTACTCAAAGTTCTACTTAAATGAGTTAAGTTTTATTTAAAGACATTTATTTAAATCCATTTACATCTCAGACTTGCTGTAAGTAGGGATATATCACTTGCCATAAGCTGAGATAACCACAGATATAAGCAGAATGAAACTAAAGTAGTAGTCACCTCTAACTTAATGCACTGCCTGCTGACGGCCATAGCCCAAGACAAGAGAGGGGGATGAACCTTAGGTATTGGGTGTGGCAAGTTCTTCACAGAGCGTAAAGAGATATGACCAGCGTCCAGGTTTCCTGATGAGTGACTGTCATTCTCTGCCCCTTGACCCACTCTGCCTGCCCTAGAAGCAGGCCTCACTGGGAGTGATGAGAGAGGATGAGCCACGGCCGGCCCCGCTGTCACAGGTGACCTCCAGGCACTAAGGGTACCTGCATTTTATGTCTCCATGTCCTTGGCAGAAATTCCTGGAGCTGGCCAAGCAAGTAGGAGAGTTCATCACCTGGAAACAAGTGGAGTGTCCCTTCGAGCAAGACCTCAGCATCACCCACTACCTGCACACTGCCCCCATCTTCAGCGAGGACGGTAAGGCAGCCCCTGGCCTCCCTCACCCTCAGCCATGAAACTCATGGGTGGTCTCTCAGTCACATCACTGTTCAGGGCCCTTGCTGTGAGCAGGGATGCACCACACCCAAGTGTGCTGGTTCTGGGAGGGTTCTGGGAGGACGCAGAGAAGACTGCATCCGCCAACTGAATAATTGCTGCCACCAGAGCACAGGGCAAGGCCTGTGGAGATGCAGCTTGTGCCCCAAGGACAGGCTGCTCCCTGGGCACCATTTGGACGCTGTTGGACGTTGTAAATCTGAATGATGTTTGACCCCAATTCCCTCATCAGGAAAGTGGGCATGATGATAAAGGCAGCCCTCCCAGGGCTCATGTGGGGACAGTAAAGCACTAGGCTGACTGTGGGTCTTTTCACAGCTGGTGTTTGCGTGTGTATGTATGTGTGCAATATGAGTACCTGTGTACATGTGTGTGCATGTGTAATACACACCGTCATGAAATGAGGCATCCATTTTACCAAGCACTGTTGATGTCTGTCCCCTTAAATAGGTTAGCATTTCCATCTGATCATTTGTCAGATACAACAGATTTGCTTATGAATTTACTGAGTATACTCCCAGAGCTGCCTCCTCCGGAAAAAGAAAGTAATGGAGAAGCAAATAGTCATCTGGGGCTGAGTTGATAACCAGTGTGGCCCCATGGTTAGCTGCTTTCTGGATGCAGGATGTCATGGGGCCACCCTGGGAGGACCCTGCTTAGCACACAGGAGGCCTGATTCTCATCATGGCAGGCATTCTACATATGGACCCACACCCATGCTCAGGAAAACATCATCTGCCAAAAATAAAAAATTAAGGGAAAGAATTTTTTAGTGACTTGCTTCTGAATTAATATTTTCAATTTGGCCATTTTATTTTTTGTATTTTGAAATTAGTAAATTTGCGGGGGGCTCTCACCCATATCTGGAGTCTCCCCTACATAATGATAAGCTCATCAGCCTGGGTGCCCCCACCCTGGAAGTGGTGTTACCTATTGGCACCTATTGCATCTATAAAGTTGGGTAATGAGAGAAACTACTTCCTAGGGCCATGGTGAGAATTAACTGAAGTGGCACCAGCAAAGCCCACAAGGACTACTTTCAATCAATACTAGTTGTATTCATTTCTTATTGATGTTGTGACAGATCACCACAAATTTGGTGGCTCAGAACAACACAGATTTAACCTCTTATGACTACAGAAGTTAGCAAGTCTGAAATCAGTTCTACTGTGCTGAAATTGAAGTGTTGGCAGAACTGGTTATTTCTGGAGGCATTGGGGGGAAATCCATTTCCTGGCATTTTGCAACTTCTAGTGGCTGCCTGCCTGAATTCCTCAGTTTGTGGCCCCTTCTTCCATATTCTTCTTATACCAGCCTCTGCTTCCACCATCATATTGCCTTCTGAAGTCAAGCCTCCCTCTTTCCCTCTTGTAAGGACATTTCTGATTGCAATTAGGACCCACCCAGATAATCCAGGATAGATAATCTCCTCATCTCTAGATCCTTAACTAAATCACATTTGTGAAGTCCCTTTTGACCATATTCAGGGGATTAAGACCTGTATCTCTGGGGCCATTATTCAACCTACTACACTAATTATTATGATGATTATTGTCATTAGTCAGTGGAATGTGGGCAATAAAATGTGTCAGAGGCACATTAGGAGAGAGGTGGGGAGAGTCTAGGGACAGCAAGAGGAGAGGTTTGGGGGGTGCATTTCATTCACTCCTTTAGTCAACAATATTTCTAGAGTCTGCTAACTGCCAGTCAGACAGACTGCCATGAACATACAAGTAAAATCCTGGCCCTTCTGGAATGCCCTTAGAAGGAAGCACCTTCCATTTTGACCCTTCTTTCTTCCTATCCTTCCCTCCAACCACCCCCACCCTCATCCCACACACACACACACACACACACACACACACAATAAGGCTGAGAAAATCAAGAAAAGGAACAGAAGATGTATTAGCCCCCAGTTAGGATGGTCAAAGCCTCTGACAGAAGCCTGGCCCTGCCCTCAGTCCCTTCAGACCGCTCCTGACAGGGCATGCTGGCAATCCAGTCAGCCCCAGGCTCCCTGAAACAAGAGAAAATAGAGAAGATCTCAGCAGAGACATAGAAGATATACAGAAGAGTCATATGGAAATTTTTAGAACTGAAAAATGCAACAGCTGAACGGATGGGTTCAATAGCATAATGGAGAGGACAGAGGAAGGAGTCAGTGAGCTGAGAGACAGAGCAACAGAAACTATACAGTCTCAGCAACAGAGGAAACAGGCCGCACCAAGCCCGGGGCCAGTGGGGCTGTGGCAGGAGACCCAGCACGCGTGGCGTCAGAGTCTGAGAAGGAAAGGACAGACTGGGCGTGGCTGGGAAGTACTCGGAGAAAGGCAAGGAACGCCCCTGTGTGGAAAAGACGTAAACCTATAGATTCAAGAAGCTGAGTGAAGCCCAAACAGGATGAGCCAAGAGAACCCATACCAAGACATGTCGTAATCAAACATCTGGGAGCTAAAGAAAAAGAAACAGTCTTGAAAGTACTGAGAGGGAAATGACAATACCTATAGGAGAAAAGCAATTCAAATGACATCAGGTTCATCAGCAGATAACATTGCCAGGGGCAGGGGCACATTTTTCAAGTGCTGAAAGAAAACAACTATCAACCCATAATTTTATATCCAGTGAAAATATCCTTTAGGAACTTACTGTAGATAAGTCAAAATGGAATTCTTAGAGACTGTTCAAGGAACCCATAAGAAAAGAAGAAAAAACACAGAACAGAAAGAAAACAATACATGAGTAAATAAATAAACAGGCAGACTTAAGCTCTAACATATCAATACTTACATTAACATAAGTGATCCAAATACAGAGACTGTCAGACTAAATTAAAAATGTGACCCAACTATATGCTGTCTACATGAAACTCATTTCCAAATACAATGATATAGACAGGTTAAAAAGTAAAATGATGGGGAAACATTAATCAAAAGAAAGCAGAAATGGCAGTATTACTGTAAGATAAATTACTTTATCTTACAAAGTAAGATAAATTTCCAGAGCAAAGAAAATTTCCAGAGACAGAGAGGAACATTCAGTTCAGTTCAGTCATTCAGTTGTGTCTGATTCTTTGCAACCCCATGAACCACAGCATGCCAAGCCTCTCTGTCCATCACCAACTCCCGGAGTCCACCCAAACCCATGTCCATCAAGTCAGTGATGGCATCCAACCATCTCATCCTCTGTCATCCTCTTCTCCTCCTGCCCTCAGTCTTTCCCAGCATCAGGGGCTTTTCAAATGAGTCAGATCTTCACATCAGGTGGCCAAAGTATTGGAGTTTCAGCTTCAGCATCAGTCCTTCCAATGAAAACCTAGGACTGATCTCCTTTAGGATGGACTGGTTGGATCTCCTTGCAGTCCAAGGAATTCTCAAGAGTCTTCTCCAACACCACAGTTCTAAAGTATCAATTCTTTGGCACTCATCTTTCTACACAGTCCAACTCTCACATCTATACATGACCACTGGAAAAACCATAGCCTTGACTAGATGGACCTTTGTTGGCAAAGTAATGTCTCTGCTTTTTAATATTCTGTCTAGGTTGGTCATAACTTTCCTTCCAAGGAGTAAGCGTCTTTTAATTTCATGGCTGCAATCACCACCTGCAGTGATTTTGGAGCCCAAAAAATAAAGTCAGCCACTGTTTCCACTGTCTCCCCATCTGTGTGCCATGAAGTGATGGGACCAGATGCCATGATCTTAGTTTTCTGAATGTTGAGCTTTAAGCCAACTTTTTCACTGTCCTCTTTCACTTTCATCAAGAGGCTCTTTAGTTCTTCTTCACTTTCTGCCATAAGGGTGGTGTCATCTGCATATCTGAGGTTATTGATATTTCTCCCGGCAATCTTGATTCCAGCTTGTGCTTCATCCAGCCCAGCGTTTCTCATGATGTACTCTGCATATAAGTTAAATAAGCAGGGTGATAATATACAGCCTTGACGCACTCCTTTTCCTATTTGGAACATTATGTAATAATAAAACGGTCAGTCCCCCAAGAAGATGTAGCAATCCTAAATGTGTATCCACCAAGCAACAGAACTGCAATGTTTATGAAGCAAAACTCAATAGAACTGAAAGGAGAAATAAATAGATCCACAATTATTAATATAGTTGGTGACTTCAACACCCTCTCTTAACAACTGATGTAACAACTAGGGAGGAAATCAGCAAAGACAAAGCGGATCTCACCAATGCCATCAGAGAGGATCCAACAGACATTTATAAACTACTCCACATAACTACAGGAGAATACACATTCTTTTCAATTGCCCATAGAACGTAGACCAAGATGAAACATATCCTGAGCTACATAAGACAAAGTGCAATAGATTTACATAACTGAAATCATATGGTATATATTATCTGATCACAATAGAATCAAACTAGAAAGCAATAACAGAAGACAACAAGAAAATCTCCAAGTTCTTAGAATCTAAACAGCATACTTCTAAATAATCCATGAGTTAAGAAGTCTCAGGGAAATAAAAAATAATTGAACTAAATGGAAATGCTATCAAAATTTGTGGGATATAGCTAAAGAAGGGCTGAGAGAATTTTACAGCGTGGAATGCATGCATTAGAAAAAATGAAACACCTTGAATCAATCATCTCAGTTCCCACTCCAAGAACCTAGAAAAAGAGGAGCAAAATAAACCAAAAGTCAGCAGAAGGAAAGAAATAAGAGCACAAGAGAGCAGAAATCAATGAAATGGAAAACAGAACCATTTAAAAAAGTTAATTAAAGAGCTTGTTCTTTGCAAAGCATAATAAAATTTCCATCCTCTAGCAAACAACATCTTGACAAAGAAAAATGAGAGAAAGACAGAAATTACTAATATTGGGAATGAAACAGAGTATCACTACAGACTCTGCCAACATCAAAAGACTCATAAGAAAATACTATGAACAACTATATGCATGTAAATTTGACAATTTAGATGAAATGGACCAATTTCTCAAGAAACACAAACTTCCACAACTCAATATAAATAGATAATTTGAATAGCCCTATAGAGAAGGAAATGACAACCCACTCCAGTATTCTTGCCTGGAGAATCCCATGGACAGAGGAGCCTGACAGGCTACAGTCCATGGAATCTCAAGAGTCGGACACAACTTATTGACTAAACCACCACTACCACCACCATAGCTATTAAGAAAACTAAATTTTTCATTTAAAAGCACTCCAAAATGAAGTATCTGAGCCCATATGGTTATACTAGAGAATTCTAACAAATATTTAAAGAAATAACACCGACTCTGTACCATCTCCTTCAGAAAAAGGATGAAGAGGAGGGAACTTTCCAGTTTGCCTTATGAAGCTAATATTATGATATCAAAATCAGACAAAGACAGTACAGATAATACAGACTGATGTCCCTCATGAATACAGATGCAAAAAATCCTTCAGAAAGTACTAGCAAATATAATTCAGCAATATATAAAAATAATTATATATCATGACTTATTCCAGAGACTCAAGGCTATTCAATATTTAAATAGATAACAGAGAACCCAGAAAGAGACCCACATGAATATTCCAAGTGATTTTTGACTAAAGTGCAAAAACAATTCAGTGAAGGGAAGATAGTCTTCGCAACAAATGATTCAAGTATATCTGGACATCCATAGGGCAAAAAATGAACTTCAACCTAAGCCTCACATTTTATATAGAAATTAACTCAAAATGGATCACAGGCTTGAATGTAAAACTATAAAACTTTTAGGGAAAAAAAAAAAGAGAAGCAAGAGAAAATCTTCAGAATGTAGAACCAGACAAAGAGTTTCTTATACTAAATATGCAACTACTATATGACTCAGCAATTATTCTCTTGGGCATGTATTTGTTCCAGAGAAATAAATGTTTACATGTTTTCACAAAAACTCATACACCAATGTTTACAGAAGCTTAATTTGTTACAGCCAAACCCTGGAAACAACCCAGATGGCCTTCAGTGGGTGAATGGTTAAACAAAGTATGGTATGGAATACTGTTCAGCTACAAAAAGGAATGAACCACACTGATACACACTACAGCATGGATGAATCTCCAGAGAATTACAGAGTGAAAAGAGCCAATCCCAAAAGGTTACATACTGTGTGATTCCATTTATATAGCATTCTTGAAAAGACAAAATAAAGATACAGGGAACAGATTAGTGGTGGTCAGGGATTAAGGAAGGAGTGGGACTGGAAGGGAGCTGGGTGTGGCTGTAAATGGGCAGCATGAGCAATCCCTGTGGTGATAGGATGTTGTGTACCTTGACTGTGCTGACACCAATATCCTGGTGATAATCTCGTCCTATAGTTTGGCAACTGGTTACTGTTGGGAGAGACTGGGTAAAAGGTGCATGGATCTCCCTGTATTATTTCTTACAATTGCATGTGAATCTGCAGTTACATCCCAATAACAATTCAAAAACAAAAAGCAGGTGAGACTGTTGAGTGTAGAATAGGTTATTATCATTGGTCAGAAATGCATAATATCACTTCATTTTCTGATTAGGTCTTTATTTGGCTTCTTATGAAAGTGAGAGCCCAGAGAACCAAACAGAAAAAGAGAGGTGGAAATCTCTAAGGTGAGTCTATGTGCCAAGACAGGGTTGGGGGTGGGGGGCAGGACAGAGGGAGGGATAGGGTGCTTGGGGCCAAGTCAGAACTGAGGGACTTCATCCACACCTGGTTGTCAGCCTCCTGGGAGGCCCTCCGTGGGGGTGGGGGCAGGTCAGACCAGGGTCTTAGTGGTTAGGCAGGAACTCAAGCATTGGGGTATGGAGAAGAGGCGAGGACCATGACCCCCCAGAGCTGGAGGTTGCCTAGTGGGCAGCTGAGATGTGTGACCCAGGGCCTGGAACCCCAGTCCATACTCGTGCTAGAAAGTTAGACACGCACCATCTCTTCTTGTTCAGCCTGTTAATACAGCTGAGCAAGGTCAGATAGGAGGGGCAGCGGTGGGCTCTGAGGACTGAGCCCCTCTGGGGCAGGGGTCTCAGGGGGTGTATAACCACAGGCCAGGCCAGCAGGTTCTCACCACCCTCAGCATGTTTAAATCTGCAGGTCTTCTATTCTGGGGAAGACATGAGAGGCACTCAGCTGGAGAAGGAGGAGGAGGGAGAGGAAGAGAGGAAGCCAGCCTTCTGCAACCCTGCCTGCCCCAGCCAGCCCAGTGGGAGGCAGAGGCATTGATGCGTCACTGCTTTGCAAACTGTGATCCTGTGGCCTGCCACCTGCCACAATGACCACACTGCCCAGGCGAACTTTCTCCACCTTTTGTGAAACCTCAGCCCTGGAAGGGCCCACAGCCTCCAAACATATGAGGGGCCCTGCCTTCAGAACAGTGGTGATCACATTGCTGGTCAGTCTGTCTGTCCTCGGCAATGAGCCAAGAGGTTGGGCGGCTATGATCTCACCCTCGCCGTGGAGGTAGACACCTAGCCTGTCTCCAGGTGACCTGGGAGCCTTCATATCTCCAGCAGACGTCATGGTGGCATGAGAGGGGCCACATCCCACTTGTGGCCCCTGCCACTTTACGAATGGACCCAATCCTGCCCAGTGAGATGGGCTGTTTTCTGTAGCCTTGTGTATACCCTTTCGGCATCCTGCTGGCATCAGGACAGCAGTGAGAGCTATGACGCCGGTCAGCAGGACAAATTTGAGTCACACACTTGACCACGTGTACAGTACATTGTAAATTTTAGAGGTGGTATAAATACATTGGTATACCCTGTGTATTCACATCCACTTCACATCTCTCACTGGTGACCTTCTGCCAGGGTGCAGGGCAGTGTCCCAGTTCAGGCCCAGGAACGCAGTGACCACAGGTCAGGAGGGGGACTTGGGGGCCATTTCCACACCATAGACCCCATACCCTGCTGAAATTTGCTGGTGCACAGTAGGTATTTGGTGAGCTCCAGTGAGCAGATCCTGACAGCCATATGTGAGGCCAGATGCCTCGCTTGTTTGGGTGAATAGTGATGGAGTCGGGAGGACGCACAACCCGCAGGAGGCCCTCCCAGCGGGATCTCACTCTGCCCTTCACACACTGAGCCACATTTCTGGGCCCGGAGCAAATGGGTCATGGACCTGCTGAGCCCCCCACCTGGCATGGGGCAAGGTCTCCCAGTCAAGAAGTCAGGGAGTGTGATGTGCACCCCCATTCCCAGTTGGCCTGAGTGCAGAGGATTGTGTTGAAGATGCAGTGATGCATCCTGGCCAGCCCCTGACCACATCAGGCCTCTCAGAGTCCAGACCCAGCTCAGCTGGGACCAGCCTCAGCTGTCCTGGCAGCGTGGCCTTTGGTCCCACCTGGGAGACAGGCAGAGAGACAGAACAACCAACACCCCAGATGCCTCCCCAACTTGAGGAGGCATTCTGCCTGATGAACCCAGGACCCCAGCAAGGATCCTGCAGCCTGACAGAGGCGTGGGAGTGTGCCTGTTCAGCTTGAATGGAATCTGCTGTACTCCAGAAGAGCCTACCCCTTTCCATCTGAGACCCCAGAGAGGCTGAGGAGTACAGTGGGTGGCAAAGATGATCCAGTTTTCAGTCAAGCCCAGGCTCCTTCCCTGCCTCACACCACATCTGAGCTCTCCACAGGGGTGGGGATGGGGTTCTGAGGGTCCCGGGAGGTAACTAGAAGCACTTCCTGACCCCCTCAGGTCTGCCCAGCACCCTCCCTTGGTGTCTGGCATCCCTGGGGCAACACTAGACCAGACTCCTGAAGATGTCAGCAGGGGCCGCGTGTGTGCCCCAGTCACACCGAGCACGGCCTGTCAGAGGTCGGGGCAGCTGCGCAGAGTGGGTTAGTGGCCTGGAGACGCGATGGCAGGCCCAGGGCTGAGGCCTGGGGAGCTCCGGGAGGCCTCCCCAGGTTGTCTCCTTCCCTCCTCCCCAGCCACAGGGAGGCAGGACACGCTGGACGGGGCCCCCCAGTTCACCCCCCAATTCACCCCCCAGGCCCAGGCTTTGCCAGTCACCTGGCTCCAGCTCCCTATTCTTGAGCAGCTCAGCTCAGGAGCCTGTGAGGAAACCCCAGAATACTGAGCTTCAGGAAGCAGCAGGTGAGGCCAAGGAGCCGGGGGCAGCTGACCATAGTGTATTCTCTGCCTCATGCCATCCTTCACCTGGGCCCAGGATTCCAGCTCTCTCTCCAAGGCCAGACCCCAAATTCCTCCCCTCAGCCGTACCCCTCAGAGTCCTCTCATCTCCTACCAGAGGACTGCAGCAGCCTCCTCCAGCCTGTGGGGAGCATTAACAAAGGATGCTGGAGGGATTGGGATGGGGAACACATGTAAATCCATGGCTGATTCATGTCAGTGTATGGCAAAAACCACTACTACAATAATGTAAAGTAATTAGCCTCCAACTAATAAAAATAAATGGGGGAAAAAAAAAGAAAGGATGCTGGAGAAGTAGTACAGGCCTGTAGCTGGAACTCTGGAGGTTAGATGTGAGGCAGGTCAAGAATGTCACTGCTGATAAGGGCCTGAGGCTGTTTCCTGATCCCTAGTTCTGTGGCCTCGCAGTGGGTGTTCCCACTGCCCGGCATGCTGTAGCTCAGTTCGTGATCTAGTAAGAGCTGCACCCTCAGACACTGCAGTCCCCCTTCCGGGGAGGGCCCCTGACTTGCAGCACTCACATCCACAGCTGCCCCCTCCAGCCTGCCAGTCGCTTTGGCCCAGGGCAGAATAAGTGTCAGGTGAGGATGGCGAGGTGAGGCCTGGGCTCATCCCCGTCTCAGAGAGAGTCCCGGCAATGGGGAGGCAGAAGCCCACGTCCAGCCCCACAGAGAACACGGGGCCAGGGGACTCGAGCTGAGTGCACTTATATCTCGGATTTATCCAGGGACCCTGCTCCCCACCTCTGTGAGCAGCTGCTTGGTACCAAGCCCCCAGTACCCAGGCCAGGAGGAAGACCTTGACTCAGTAGCTCCAAGGTGGGGATCCTGGTACCCCTTCTCCAAGTGCAGCCTCAGGGCCCAGGGAGGATTGGTACCTGACTCGTGGCCTGTAGATAGTTCCTTCACCACATCCAGGACTCGTGGCGCCCCCTCCAGAGGCCCTGCTGTCAGCCTGGTCTCCTAGCCTCAGTCCCTGTGGCCAGGTCAGATGGTCTACCTGGGGGGCAGCAGATGGAGTACAGGCCTATGGACCAGGTGTCAGCCACACAGGTGGTACCTGAGTGTGATGCCCAGAGGCCCAGTCTGATGCCAGGTGACATAGCTCCCTGCCACACAGCAGGTCTGCGGCACCCAGCTCAGCACACTGCAGGCACCAGGACACAGGGCTCAGGGGCAACCTTCATCCCCACTGTGCCCAGGAGGCCAGCAAAGATCGGGGGCTGTGCTCATTCTTTGTGGCCCTGTGCCTTTTCTCTAGTCTTTCCCATCCTATTGTTTTCCTCTATTTCTTTGCACTGATGACTGAGACAGGCTTTCTTATCTCTCCTTTCTATTCTTTGGAACTCTGCATTCCTCAGGGATCAGTGCAAAGAAACAGAGAAAAACAACAGAATGGGAAAGACTAGAGATCTCTTCAAGAAAATTAGAGATACCAAGGGACCATTTCATGCAAAGATGGGCTCAATAAAGGACAGAAATGGTAAGGACCTAACAGAAGTAGAAGATATTAAGAAGAGGTGGCAAGAATACACAGAAGAACTGGACAAAAAGGATCTTCACAACCCAGATAATCACAATGGTGTGATCACTCACCTAGAGCCAGACATCCTGGAATGCAAAGTCAAGTGGGCCTTAGGAAGCATCACTACAAACAAAGCTAGTGGAGGTGATGGAATTCCAGTTGAGCTGTTTCAAATCCTAAAAAATGATGCTGTGAAAGTGCTGCACTCCATATGCCAGCAAATTTGGAAAACTCAGCAGTGGCCACAGGACTGGAAAAGGTCAGTTTTCATTCCAGTCCCAAAGAAAGGCAATGCCAAAGAATGTTCAAACTACACCGCACAATTGCACTCATTTCACATGCTAGTAAAGTAATGCTCAAAATTCTCCAAGCCAGGCTTCAACAATACCTGAACTGTGAACTCCCAGATGTTCAAGCTGGATTTAGAAAAGGCAGAAGAACCAGAGGTCAAATTGCCTAAACCCGTTGGATCACTGAAAAAGCAAGAGAGTTCCAGAAAAATATCCATTTCTGCTTTACTGACTACGCCAAAGCCTTTGACTGTGTGGATCACAACAAACTGTGGAAAATTCTGAAAGATATAGGAATACCAGGCCACCTGACCTGCCTCTTGAGATATCTATATGCAGGTCAGGAAGCAACAGTTAGAACAAGACATGGAACAACAGACTGGTTCCAAATAGGAAAAGGAGTATGTCAAGACTGTATATTGTCACCCTGCTTATTTAATTTATATGCAGAGTACATCATGAGAAATGCTGGACTGGATGAAGCACAAGCTGGAATCAAGATTGCCTGGAGAAATATCAGTAACCTCAGATATGCAGATGACACCAGGCTTATGGCAGAAAGTGAAGAAGAACTAAAGAGCCTCTTGATGAAAGTGAAAGAGGAGGGTGAAAAAGTTGGCTTAAAACTCAACATTCAGAAAACCAGGATCATGGCATCCAGTCCCATCACTTCATGGGAAATAGATGGGTAAACAGTGGAAACAGTGACAGACTTTATATTTGGGGGCTCCAAAATCACTGCAGGTGGGACTGCAGCCATGAAACTAATAGATGCTTACTCCTTGGCAGGAAAGTTATGACCAGCCGAGACAGCATATTAAAAAGCAGAGACATTACTTTGCCAACAAAGGTTCGTCTAGTCAAGGCTATGGTTTTTCCAGTGGTCATGTATGGATGTGAGAGTTGGACTATAAAGAAAGCTGAGTGCCAAAGAAGTGATGCTTTAGAACTGTGGTGTTGGAGAAGACTCTTGAGAGTCCCTTGGACTGCAAGGATATCCAATCAGTCTGTCCTAAAGGAGATCAGTCCTGAGTGTTCGTTGGAAGGACTGATGTTGAAGTTGAAACTCCAATACTTTGGCCACCTGATGCAAAGAGCTGACTCATCTGAAAAAACCCTGATGCTGGGAAAGATTGAAGGTGGGAAGAAAAGGGGACGACTGAGGATGAGATGGTTGGATAGCATCACCGACTCGATGGACATGAGTTTGCGTAAAGTCCGGGAGTTGGTGATGGGCAGGGAGGCCTGGCGTGCTGCAGTCCATGGGATTGCAGAGTCGGACATGACTGAGCAATTGAACTGAACTGAACTGAACTTTTCCTCTGAACCCTCCAGAGAAGGAACAGAGATATTAGGATGGGAAGATATTCCTGACTAGGGTTTGCCTCAGAGATCCCTGGGCCTGGCTGGGGTTCAGAATCAGTTCATCTCATATGGGTAATCTATGGGGAAGCCCCTGCCTCCTACATTGCTTCCCTACCCACCTAGTTTCTTGGGGCAGGAGACACCACTGTGGCCACTGTGGCCAGTGACTAACCCCAGGAACTCAGCCACGTCCAGGCTCCTGTGGAGGCCCGTCTATCACACCTGAGCGCTCTCCAGGGCAGGACCCCAGAAAACCCCAGGGTGGTTCTCAGAGCTGTGTCCAGTTATCGCAGGGGACACCACAGGCTGTTTCCCTCACAACCAGAGACGGACAGCCACAAGCGTGGCCCCTGGTCCTTCAGATGCCTCAGGCAGGTATCGGACCTTGGGGCACTGCATCCCTGTGCTAAAGGGCTAATGTGAGTTTCCCAAAGAAGGGGCACCCCACCCACAGAGCCCCCCAAGCAGTACCCTTCCCAGTCTCTAGCTCCTGACCGCTGACATTCCCCATCCGTGAGTCAAGGGGGCACAGTCAGATAGCTCAGTCAAGAGCCACAGTCAGGGTGTGCCTCAGCTGGAAGCTCCATTTCACCCCCAAACTCAAATGTTTCCAGGCTTCATACACAGCCTAACGAATCCCGTGACATGGGTGCTATCACCATCCACCTTGGCAAGTGACAAAATGTGGGCTCAGAAAGGCAAAGCCGTTGCCCACGGGCCCCGAGCTTGCAGGGACAGAGCCTGGCCCCAAGAGGCCGTTGCCCACCAGGCTCTGCTGTAACAGTGCTGAGAAGCCAGGAGGGGCTCGGGCTGGTGTCTGGGTCTTCCTGCAAGCACACACACAGTGACACGCATCTTTCCTCCACTCCCGCCCCTTCCTTTCTGGAGGGTTGCTGAGTCCCTCCGTATCCCCTGGGGTTTCAGGTGAGCCTTTACTGCCTCATGCCTGCTCAAGACAAAACCGCCCAGCTGCACACAGCCCTCTGTGGGCCCTGCTGGGCACAGTCGGGCCTCACCCCTAGCAGCAGAAAACAGCAGGCTTCACTGCATCCCCATCATGCTACCCTTTGTCCCCGCATCCATTCTGTAAGGTTAGCATCCTACTACACAATGCTTTCAGTGAAAATGCCTTCATTTTTCACTTCCAGGACTCAAATGGGAACCCTAGATCCCTAGGCCCAGGATCAGATCCAACAGGGAGACCTTGAAACACACACACAAGATGCTTCTCAGCAGAACCAGGCCCTTGACCTCAGGCTGAGCAGAGAGTCTGGCACTGCCTTCAACATCCAATCCTGAGCCCAGGCAGGACCAGAAGGTGGGAAGATTAACTGGGGATGAATAGACCTGAGGCCTAAGCTAGAGCCCCACTGCTGACCAACAGACCGACACCAAATTAGCAAGCTGGGAGAACAGTTCAGCAGAGAGAGAGGAGACAGGAATTTATTGTGTCAGGGGCAGAGTGCAATGGCTGGAAAGACTCTCAGAGGCCAGATTGTGAAAGGCCAACACCCCTCTGCTGGGGTGGGGGAGACGAAGGAGCTTCGCGTTTACCCTGAAGCTCCGGGCTGGGGCAAGAGGGACCCTGAAGAGTTTCAGGAGATGATGCAATTGTTAATTTTATGTGTCAGCTTGACAGGACCACAGGGTCCCCAGATATTTAATCAAACATATCCTGGGTGTGTGAGGGTACTTCTGGGTGAAATTAAAATTTGAGTCCGTGTGTAGTCAGCCATGTCCGCCTCTCTGCAGCCCCATGGACTGTAGGCCACTAGGCGCCTCTGCCCATGGAATCTTCCAGGCAAGAATACTGGAGTGGGGTGCCATTTTCTACTCCAGTGCATTTTTTTTGACCCAACCTCCTACACTGGCAGGCAGGTTCTTTACCACTAGCACCACCTGGGAAGCCCCTTTGAATCAATGGACTCAGTAAATCAGATTGTCCTCCTCAATGTGAGGGGGACACATCCTATCATTTGGAGGCCTGAATAGAACAAAAAATGGAGAAATTACTGGCTGTCTACTTTTGACCCTGGGACACAATTCTCCTGTATTTGGCCTGAATTTCACTCCACTGGCTCTCCTGACTCTCCAGCTTACCCACAGCAGATCTTGGGGCTCTCAGCCTCCACAATTACTTGAGCCAATTCCTTATCATCTAACTATCTATAATCCATCTTCTATCACCCATCTATCTGCCATCTCTCTCTCTCTCTTTATCTATCTCTCCTCTTGGTTTCTCTGAAGAACCCAAACTAATACAGGAGCTAACATGGTCAGTTTTAGAAAGATTTCTTTGATACCTTTTGACACAATAATTCTAATTTTGTAATTTATCTTAAGGAAAACAACCTGATTAGCACAGTATTTGCATAATAGAGAAGTAACTAATGGTTACATTGTTCCTATTCCCATGACAGCAGGTAGATTTTGCTCCCCAGCCCAGCCCAGAACCTAGAAAACCCACTCTTGCTAAAGAGGAATGCCTGAACCTCTTCTTGGAGCCGAAGTGGGAGACTGGTGCATTCTCCTGCCCTCTGCGTGCATGTTGGATGGACTGTCTGTGAGGGGCTAAGTCAGCGATAAGATCAGGGCAGCACAGCAATGCAGAAAGCTCTGCAACCAATTTACTTCCTCTTACTGCTTTTGTAGACAGTTAGGTCCCATTTATTTCCATAGTTATTTGTCTGTTTGCATTAAAACATAAATAAAATACATCAGTATAGAGCACAGTTTGGTTTAAATTAAGATCTCTTAACACTAACATATACAACATCTCTCTCTAGGTCTGTCTTTGCAGTTAATCACCAGACCTCACACACTCAGGCATTTTGCAAAGAGACCTGCTAGGAGGCCCTGACAGGACACAGGGGAGAGAGGAAGGTAGGCTCAGCCAGAGTGTGGCAGTGGAGATAGAAAACACGGCCAGGTTTGGGATACATTTTGAAGGTAAAAATTTCAAAAGGTTTACTGATGGAGTATAAGTCAATGTGAAAGAAAAATAAAGGTCAAAACTGACTCCAAGGTTTGGGGGACTTAGAAAATAGAGGAATGACACTGCCACTTCCTGAGCTATGGGAAGACTGGGAGAGGAATAGGATTATAGAGGAAAATAAGGAATTTGATTAGAGGAAAACCCATGGTCAATTTTTATAGGCTTTCTAGGTAGCACTAGTGGGAAAGAACCTGCCTGCCAATGCAGGAGACATAAGAGACATGGGTCAGGAAGATATTCCCTGGAAAAGGGAAGGGCAACCCACTCCAGTATTATTGCCTGGAGAATAATCCCATGGAGAGAGGAACCTGGGGGGCCATGGTCCATAGGGTTGCAGAGTCAGACATGACTGAGCGACTTAGAACACATGCATGCTCAGTTTGAGATGTCCATTAGGCAGCCCCGTGAATATGTCAAGTACAGATTGGACTGACATGATTCTGGCGTTCTGAGGGCAAGTCTGGCCTGGGTATATAAATCTATGGGCTTCCTGTGCAGGCTGTTTTACAGCCAGGGGCCCAGATAAAGAATATAGAGAGTAGGGCAGCTGAGCCCTTTGGGGTATTTGAATGTTTAGAGGTAGGGGAAATAAAGCATATCCACCAAAGGACATTGAGAAAGAGTGCCTAGAAGTTAAGAGGAAAACCAAAGAAGAGACGAAAGCTGTTAAAGAAAGATTCAAGAAGGAAGGAGTGATCAGCTGTGTCCTGTGCTACTGAAAAATCAAAGAAAGAATTAAGAGCTAACCTTCACGTGGGGTAGCAGAGGTAAACAGCAACCTCAAAAGGAGGGGTTTCAGGGAAATGCTGGAGGTGAACAGTCATGTCCGACCCTCTGCAACCCCATGGACTGTAGCCCACCAGACTCCTCTGTCCATGGGATTTCCCAGGCAAGAATACTGGAGCGGGTTGCCATTTCCTTCTCCAGGGGAACTTCCCAACCCAGGGATCAAACCCGGGTCTCCTACGAAAGTTTGAAGACAATTCAAAAGAAAATGGAAAAACTGACTCTCCAATAGAAAAATGGGTGGAAGATACGAACAGTTTCATAGAAGAAGAAATGCAAATGACTCAAACTTATGAAAAGATGCTTATGGGTGACAGAAATATTCAACCTCACTCAAAGAGGACCACATTGGTATGCTGTTTTCACTGCTTAGATTGATAGAATAATAATCGCAGAATTGGGGAAACAGACACTCCTATGTTGCTCCTCATGTGTGTCCATGCTTAGCTGCTATTGTGTCTGACTCTTTGCTACCCCATGGGCTGGAGCCTGCCAGGCTCCTCTGTCCATGGGGATTCAGTAGGTTGCCATGCCCTTCTCCAGGGGATCTTCCCAACCCAGGGATCGAACCCAGGTCTCCTGCATTGGAGGTGGATTCTTTACCATCTGAGCCACCACAGAAGCCCATGTTACTCTTTGGCATGCAGTTAACACAGTTCTATGGAAGTGAATTTGGCAATCTTCATCACATTTGCAAATATGTATCTGCTGTGACGTGGTAATTCCATCTGTGACGTGATAATTCCATCTCTTGCAATTTATCTTACCATCATGCTTGTACTCCTCCAAATGAATAAGCCTGCATGCATCTATTCATTGCAGCACCATTTGACAGCAAAAAACTGAAAACAACCCAAGTGTCAATAAGTAGGAAATTGGTTAAATCAATCACTGCACAGCTCTACTATAGAATACCATGCAGCTGTAATGAGGATGCTCTTTAGGTATTGATATGAAAAGTTATTCAATATATGATACAGGTATATAAAAGCATGTATAATACATTATCATTTGTGTAAAAAAGGATGAGAAAAATACATATTTACATTTGCTTATATTAAATAAAATCTCTTAACATTTTAAAACATTTTAAAATAAACAAAAGTCTAATAATAGTTAATTTTAGGGACATGTAGGCTGTGGATAGAAAAAGACTTTTTGCTTTTGAACTAAGCAATTCCTGGATTACTAGACAGTATCTATATATTCTTAATCTCAAAGAATCTTGCAGTATTACTTTCCAGAATATTTACCAGTCTATACTCCCACCAACAGGATTCAGGAGGCCCCCCAAATCCTTGCCAACACTTATTATCGTCAGGATATGTTCCTGCTGCAAGATATGTGTACAAAATAAGGAATCAAATTAGAAAGATGATAAGCATCAGTAATCATAGGCTACAACACGAGGGGAGAGAACCAGACAGTGTCAAGAGAACAACCAGACCAGATTGGAGTAAATAAGAGGGCACGGGTTCCAGGAACAGCCTTGGGAAAAGGCAGTAATGAAGAATCCAACTAGAGTCAGAATAAAACTCAAAAATTGGCCTTTAAAAATACCCCTGAACCTAGAGGGGTGGGATGAGGAGGGAGATGGGAGAGAGGTTCAAGAGGCAGGGGGTGTACTATGGCTGATTCATGTTGAGGTTTGACAGAAAAAAACAAAATTCTGTAAAGCAATTATCCTTCAGTTAAACAATAAATTAATTAAAAAAAAAAAAACTACCCCTGAAAGGGGGGTTGCATTTGATTGGGTCAGACTGTAGAACAACTTATGTCCCAGGAAATTGTCAAAAACAATAGGAAATTCATCCAGGAATTAGTGGAGCTTAGCAGAGGATGTGATACCAACAAAGACAGACAGGTAACAGAGAGACAAGGGAAACAGTCAGAAAGAACCCTGCCAAAGCCACTGTCATCCCAGGGTGACTGTGGATATGCCCAGGACTGCACACTCTGGGGAAAAACATCAAAGGCTTCACACTGCCATCAAAATAGATATGCTTCTCTAAAACAGTCCAGCTAAGTCACCAAACAAATAAACAAGCAAACAACAATTAGTCTGAGGTGTGAGGATGAAAACCAGTATCCAGATTCACTAACAGATATTTTCTAAAATTTCTAGTTTCCAACTAAAAATTTTAAGATGTGAAAAAAAACAAGAACCTCTGCCCATGTATAAGGGGGGAAAAGACAGGCAATACAAGCCAAATGTGAGAGGACCCTGATGCCCGATGTAATAAACAAAAACTTCAAAGCAACCATTGTAAATATGTCCTAAGAGTCAAAGGAAACCATGCTTAAAGAAATAAAGGATGAAATGGTGACAATGTCTCATCAAGTAGAGAATATAAGAGATATCAATTATAAGAAGGAAGAAAATGGAAGTCTGAGGTTGAAAGTATAGTAACTCAAGTAAAGACAATTACTAGAACGGCTCAAGAGTATATCTGAACTGGCATAAGAAAGAAATAGCAAAAAATAGGTTGCTACAGATTATCCAACTTGAAGAACAAAGGGAAAAAATAATTTTTTAAAATCTGACTCTATTAATCTCACAAACATATGCATAATGGGAAGATTAGAAGGAGAGGAAAGAGAGAAAGGAATGGAAAAATTTGTTTGAAAAATAATAATAGCTAAAAATTTGTCAACTTTGATGAAAAATATTAATCTATACATCCAAGAAGTTCAATAAATTCCAACCAGGATAAACTCAGACATCCACATACAGACAAATCATAGTAAAAATGCTAAAAGACAAGAGAAAGATGTTTGAAACTCTTCGAAGCAGCAAAAGAAAACAACCCATCATGTACAAGAGAACGCCATCAGAGACAATGACGAGCAGGGAGATGATGTGTTCAAAGTGCTGAACGAAAAAATGTGTCAACCAAGTATCTTATATCTAGCACAGCTGTCTTTCAAAGGGTAGGCTGAGCTCTTAGAAGAGTCTTGTGATTAAATGACAGGTACATGAGTGGGGGACAGAAAGCAAGCAAAATAGGTGGCTGATGCACAAAGAGTTATGGCTTTTACTCCGTAACTCCTTGGGGGTCAAGGGTCACAGTCCCTGGCAGGGTCACGTAGTTTTCCAGAAATGTGGTCATATAGTCGATGTGCTAGGTGGAAAAGGATTCAGCTGAGGACAAAGAGGCCAGAGAAGAATTGAGAAAGAGGGTGAGAAGTGAGGGAGAGAAACATGGCTGGATGAATAACTGGATGGAGCAGAAGTGAGGGAACAGACCATGCTAAAGAAGTGGACTGGAGGGAAAATGGGGTCGCTTGATTGTGAGGTGGTACTGTGAGAATAGGATGCTGAAGACCAGAGCATGGAGAAAATAATAAAGATCAGAGCAGAAATAAATAAAATGAGATAAGAAAAAAATATAAAAATCAATGAAACCAAAAAAATTTTTTGGGGGGAAAACATAAAATTAATAAGCCTTTAGCCTGGCTCATTAGGAAAAAAAGAGAGAGGACCCAAACAACAGAATAAGAAAGATAAAAAGAGAAATCACAACAAATAACACATAGACACAATCCTAAGAGGAAGCTACGAACAGTTATTTGCCAACAAATTGGCAACCTAGAAGAAATGGAAAATTTTTTAGAAACACATAATCTTCCAAAACTGAATCTGGAAGAAATAAGTAACCTGAACAGACCAATTACTAGTTTTGAAATCAAATCAGCAATCAAAAAACACCCAACAAACAAAAGTCCAGGACCAGATAGTTTCACATGAGAATTCTACCAAATACATGAAGAAGAGTTAATACCAATCCTTCCCAAACTATTCCAAAAAATTTAAGAGGAAGAAATACTCTCAAATTTGGTCTACAAAGCTATCATTGCCCTGATACCAAAACCAGATAAAGACACTACAATAAATCATAAAATTATAGGCCAATATCTCTGATGAATATAAATATACAAAAATCCTCAACAAAATAGAGCAAAACTGAATTCAACAATATAGAAAAAGGATCATACATGATGACCCAGTGGGATTTATTGCAGGAATGCAAGGATGGTTTAATATCTGCAAGTCAATCAATATTATACACCACATTAACAAAACAAAGGATAAAATCACATGATCATTTCAATAGATGCAGAAAAATGCTTTTGACAAAATTCAACATCCATTTATGATAAAAAAAAATTCTCAGAAAGTTGGTATAGAGGGAATATATCTCAATATAATAAAGGCCATTTATGCCAAACCTACAGCTAACATCATACTAAGTAGTGAAAAGTGAAAGCTTTTCCTCTAAATTCAGGAACAGGAAATGGATGCCCACTTTCATCATTTCTGTTTAAAATAATATTGGAATTCCTAGCCACAGCAACCAAATAAGTAAAAGAAATAAAATGCATCCAAATTGGAAGGGAAGAAGTACACTATCACTATTTGCAAATGGCATCACCGACTCAATGGACATGAGTTTGAGTAAGCTCTGGGAGTTGGTGATGGACAGGGAAGCCTGGAGTGCTGCAGTCCATGGGGTCACAAAGAGTTGGACATGACTGAACAACTGAACTGACTGACTAACTAATTTACAAATGACATGATACTATATACAGAAAACCCTAAAGTCTCCACAAAAAAACTATTAGAGTAAATGAATTCAGTAAAGTTGCAAGATACAACTTTTAAGATACAAAGTTACAATATTTACATACAGAAATCTGTTACTATTCTACACATTAAAACAAACTATCAGAAAAAGAAACAAAACAATCCCATTTATAATCACACCAAATAGAATAAAATAAGTAGGAATAAACTCAATCAAGGAGGTAAAAGACCTATACTCTGAAAACTATAATATATTGATGAAGGAAATTGAAGATGTTTCAAATAAGTGGAAAGATACCCCATGTTCACGGATTGAAAGAAGTAAAATTGCTGAAATGTCCAGACTACCCAAAGCAATCTACAGATTTAATGCAACCCTTCTGAAAATATCCATGACCTTACAGAACTAGAACAAATAACACTAAAATTTGTGTGGAACCACAAAAAACAAACAAGCAAAAACAAATAGCCAAAGCAATCTTGAGAAAAAAAAGAGTAAAGCTGACAGTATCAGACTCCTTGACTTCAGATGACTCCAAAGCTACAACAATCAAAACAGTATATTCAGTTCAGTTGTCTAGTCATGTCAGCACGCCAGGCTTCCCTGTCCATCACTAACTCCCAGAACTTGCTCAAACTCATATTCACCAAGTCAGTGATGCCATCCAACCATCTCAT